ATTCGATATAAGAGTAGGCCGTAGTGCCGCTGTCCGGGCAAAATTTCCCTCATAGCACACTGTATGGCGTATGCCCGTCTTCATTAGCCCAGGTTAGGAGCAGAACAGTAGGACGTTAAACCCCATTTCATTTCATTTCATTTCCTGTGTACATATTGGTGTGCACGTTAAAGATCCTTTCTCAGTTGGTATTTGATATAAGAGTAGACCATAGTGCTGATGTCGATGCAAAATTTCCCTCATAGCACATTGTATGGCTATTAGCCCGGTCGGAGCAGGACGTTAAACCTCATTTCATTTCTTTTCATTTTCCACTCCTTTAATTATATTTGCGTTTAACCCTGTTTCATTTCAAGGAGCGTTGGATGGCCGAATGGCTAGCGTGTGCGCGCTGTATCATACGGTCTGTCATTGAGTCAACTAGCGGGGTTTCGATTCCTTCCTCGGTTGTACGTTACAAGGAGTAGGGTCGCCTGTCCAACCTCGTGGGTTTTCTCCGGGTCCTCCGGTTTCCTCCCACGGCTAAAGACCCCTACGCGAATTATTGAAATAAAATTGAACCATGTGTTAGTCCCAAAATGACCTAGTTTGTGTCTATTGGACGCTAAACCCCATCTCTCTCTCTCTCTCTCTCTCTCTCTTTCATTTCATCATATTTTTCTGATGATTTTAGGGCAAACATCAACAAATTAAATTAGTTATTCTGGACAGCATAATGATTTACAACATAGCAGCTTTAGGAAGGACGGCATCAAGGATGTCACATGTGTAGCACTTTGGTCCTTAAGACAATATTGGTTCTTTGAAAAATTGTTTCTTCACTCTGTCTATAGAGTCAATATATAGTTATACATAAAAAACAGTGATATTTTGGTAAAATCGTTACCATTGTCAAAATATCCATCAAATTCTATCTGTTAATTGACCTATGGTTGTTAGACCAAATACGGTAATGTTTCCTCATTTAGTCTTGTGAAATAAAGAGGTTTATTCCATATTTGGGATGGAAATTAACGTCAAGGCTATCTAAGACGTGCAGAAATTAGGGGGTTATAAAACAGGGTGTAGAGAGAAATTGATCAGACCGCATCCAGATATTCCTAGCAGCTATTATTTATTGAGAACGAGGAACCTTCAAAGCCATTACAGCTTAACAATAAAACAAACACAACAAGGAAAGAAGTCTGATAGTACTACACATGGTTTGTTGGTTCCTTTATAGGGTTTACCTTCCGTTTCCACCGAAGCTGGGGGTTTGGGTGGCCGAATGGTTAGCACGTGCGTGCTGTATCATAAGACCTGTCATTGAGTCAACTGGCGTGGTTTCGAATCCCCGGTTATACGTGACAAGGAGTAGGGTCGCCTGTCCAACCTTGTGGGTTTTCTCTGGGTCCTCAGGTTTCCTCCCACTGCTAAAGGCCCCTACGCGCAAGCGAATTATTGAAATAAAAGTAAACCATGTTAGTCCCGAAATGACCTAGTTTGTGTCGAGTGGACGTTAAACCCCATTTCTCTCTCTCTCTCTCCACCGAAGCTGATTTCGCAGACTAATGTTTCCTTTGTGTCAGTCGTGCTGGAAAGGGAAATGAAATGAAATGGGGTTTAATGTCCTACTGTTCTGCTCCGACTGGGCTAATGAAGATGGGCTTAAGCCATACAGTGTGCTATGAGGGAAATTTTGCCTGGACAGCGGTGCTATGGCCTACTCATATATCAAATTTCAACTGCCAAGGGATCTTTTACGTGCATGCCAATGTGTTGTGTGCACGGGACCTCAGTTTTTTTTTGTCCCATCCAAATGACTAAAAAGCTGACAAGGAGGAAACTACACCCAAAAATCCAGATGAAATTTCTTGGCTAACACTGAGATTAAACCTGGAACCTCCAGACTAGCGAGCCAGCGTCTTACTCACTTGGCGACCGAGGCTCCGAGCAAGAAGGGAAAAATTCATTGCTCTGATCCCTTCATTAAAGGCATGATATGCTACCTATTGAGTTACAATGTCTAATGGACTATTCAGGTCCATTCTAAGTCATAAGTAGCATGGGGAGGTTGGGTGGTTAGCGCGTGCGCTCTGTATCATAAGGTCTGTCATTGAGTCAACTGGCATGGTTTCGATTCCCCAGTTGTACGTGACAAATAGTAGGGTCACCTGTCCAACCTCTTAGGTTTTCTCTGGTTCCTCCTACTTCAAGCGAATTATTGGCAGTTGGAAAAGTAGGTCATAGTGCTGCTTCCCGGGGAAAAAAATTTCCCTCATAACACACTGTATGGCATATGCCCGTCTTCATTAGCCCAGTTTAGGAGCAGAACAGTAGAACGTTAAACCCCATTTCATTTCCGTCATTACGCTGCCCCCCCCCCCCCAATAAAAAAAAAAAGAACAATTTCAGGATTTGAATCGTTTTATTTAATTTAGAAAACAAACTATTTACAAAGTAAATCAACAAATAGTAAACAATATTCACATGTTAAGGCAAGACTGTATTGGTCAGGGGATAATTCCCATAATATTTTATACAAATAAAATAGCTTACACATAAATTTATAACATTCATAACTTTGAGCAATTTACAATTTTGACAGGTAATGAAACATACGCACACCAACAGGTTTATCACTGGAGTCCTTTATTTAAAAAAATTGAGGGGGAGAGAAATGTTGTTTTAATGTCCACTCGACACAAACTAGGTCATTTCGGGACTAACATATGGTTCAATTTTATTTCCATAATTCACTTGCGCGTAGGGGTCTTTAGCAGTGGGAGGAAACCGGAGTACCCGGAGAAAACCAACATTCAACAAGGTTGGACAGGCGACCATAAGAGAGAGAGAGATAGGGTTTAACATCAACTCGACACAAACTAGGGAATATTGGGACCAACAGCTAGTAAGAGGTTTTGCAAGCTAACCTGGAGGTCTCATGTTTAATCCCATTGTTGGCAGAAAAATTTCATTGCCATGCACCTTGGCATGCATGTAAATGATCCCTTTGCAGTTGGAATTTAATATAAGAGTGGGCTGTAGTCCTGCTGTCTGGGCAAGATACTGTATGGTGCATGCCCGTCTTCAATAACCCAGTCGTTGCACTGCCCCCCCCATTACACTCCTCCCCAATCTAGTTAGTATCGACAAAAAATAGGACTCCAAATCCAAATTGGCTACAGATGTTCAATTATTACGTTCTCTAGTGAATAAAGAGAAAAATAGGACCCAAAATACGAGGGAGGGAAATGGGGCTTAACGTCCACTCGACACAAACTAGGTCATTTCGGGACTAACATATGGTTTAATTTTATTTCAATAATTCGCTTGCGCATAGGGGTCTTTAGCAGTGGGAGGAAACCGGAGGACCCGGAGAAAACCAATGAGGTTGGAACCCAAAATATGCTACATGTATGGTTAGTGCTAAATGATAAGGCCAGCTCAATTTTTCATCATAGGTCACTTGATATAAACAAGGATCGTGCTAGTCCCAACTCTAGCCGCAATGCATACCCTAACCTACAATAAGGCCAGCTCAATTTTTCGTCCTGGGTCACAAGACGTAAACAGGGCTAGTGCTAATTCCAACTCAAACCCACACACTGGACCTAGCCCAATGCTTACCCTAACCTACAATCTCGCCAACAATCACATGCCCTAACCTTATTTACATCTAGGCGACTTTGACAAAAATATGCCTGTAAGGCATACAATGATAATGTTTGGGAGTGTGGCACTGGAGCCCCCCCCCCCCCCTACTCCCCCCAACCTGCTAGTTAGTTAGATGAGTAAACAGGATTCAAAAGAGAATCCTGCAACATGTATTTCAAGGATTATATTTGGGAGGGTGGAATTGAGGACCCCCCACCCCCCACCCCACACCACCTCTCCCATCCATTGTCGGTCAGTCACATTTGACTGCAACAAGAGTATCTTGCATTTATTTACAATTTGTCTCCATGGAAACACAGATACATGTGGATTTCAAGCTAAAGAGACGATTCCTTTAAACAATTTAAATGTAAACAAATGCCTGCATCGCCCAACAATTGATATGAAAAATATCACATTATTATTAATGAAAGAAACATCGAATCGATCTGATTAAAACACAGATCCTATTTCGTTTCGTTTTTATAGTTCAAAATTTTGTTTTACTTGTCTTTACTACACTAGGATCTGGAAGAGTTGTTATATAATATTAGCCAATGAAACGGTCTGTTACAGGAAGTTCTTGGTGTGCAATGCATGGAACTGTGGGTAAACCCCTAGAAGCGTCAACACTGATTGATTAATCAATGTCTGACGTCATAGGGTCAAAAACTGCTCGTATGACCCCCAAAGCAACCTCCTAGTGCAACTGGTCAGATCTTCATGTAGTGTAGGCCATCAAAAGTATAAAAAAAAACGAAATATAGATCTGTATTTCGATCAGATTGCAATCGAATAACCTGTGATCACAAATTAACTATAAAATATTTAAATACAATGAAAATTAACTAGAACATGAGAAATCAATAAAGGGATAAATGTAGTATTAAAACTGGTTCCATGATGTTAACAAATTAAAGATACATTATGTAAAATTTAGATAAAGAGCTAGCCATTCTTGCTATAATAGTTCCAAAATAGATAATGTAAAATGAATAATTTGAAAATTTCATTCAAATTACTCTATTGCGAGCGGAGATATGAGTCTTTGAAGGTTTGAGAAGACGTGTGCAATAATTTCAACCACCGTACTGGTTGTTCGAAGCTAAGTCTTGCTCCTCCATTTTTAGCTTAAATCAAAACATGGCTGAACTGTTCTAATCTATTTAATATTGGAGAAATCCGATGCCATGGAGAGTTGATTATTCATGGGTAAGTTAATTAATGTCTAATTAATAATTTAGATAACATTTTAGGTCTAAAGAAAGACCTGAAATAGGAAGATTTAGCTCTTGCATAATGTATGTTTAAATTTGAAATACCCAGAGCACAATTCTTAGAAATACAATTAATATTTATTACAGAGCAAGGTTGATATTTAATTATGATAAACAGTAATTGTAATCCATAGATTTGTATCCCGTGCATTTCAATAATAATTAATTTGATTCAATGACATTTGGTACTTGAGCTGGAAATACATAGAATACAATATGGAACTGTGTATATACAACACAGAACTGTATAATGTGTATACACAACATGGTTATGTGTAATGTGTATATACAACACAGAACTGTGTAATGTATACACAACATGGAACTGTGTAATGTGTATACACAACACAGAACTGTGTAATGTATATACAACATGGAACAGTGTAATGTATACACAACATGGAACTGTGTAATGTGTATATACAACACAGAACTGTGTAATGTATACACAACATGGAGCGGTGTAATGTGTATACACAACACAGAACTGTGTAATGTATATACACAACACGGTACTGTGTAATGGGTATATACAACACAGAACTGTGTAATGTATACACAACATGGAACTTTGTATACACAACACAGAACTGTGTAATGTATATACACAACACGGTACTGTGTAATGGGTATATACAACACAGAACTGTGTAATGTATACACAACATGGAACTGTGTATACACAACACAGAACTGTGTAATGTGTATATACACAACATGGAACTGTGTATACACAACACAGTACTGTGCAATGTGTATATACACAACATGGAACTGAGTATATATATACTACATAGAATGAAAAAAAACAACCTGTTAAACAATTTGATAAGGTCTGAAAGATACAAATCTTGATGAGGAACTAAACTGTCTGTCTAGACGTCTCTAGAATACAGTTCACGCAATGTCTTAATTCACCAGTTATCAATGTATTCCTTGAATGAAAGGTGACAGTTATTTTTCTTATAAGACATGTTCGGAAATTGGTGCTGGTTGAAACAACAGTTTCACAGAACATGGACTGTACCAATTTATCATTCCATGGTATCTTTAGCCTTTTCTTCAAATATATACATAGTACACAACCTGCATATATACAAATAATTTCTCCCTTTATTTAGCACTCAACCGGTATATATACAAATGATTTCTCCCTTTATTTATTCTCACAACTAGCTTTAGCAAAATATATACTGAATAATAGTTATATGATATGGAGGTTACATTACACAAAAACAACCCAGTATTACACAAATAGAACAATAACAATATGTAATCACCAAGGGTTACACAGATAGAACAATAATAATATGTAATTAGTGTTACTCAAAAAGAACAATATGTAATCACCAAGGGTTACACCACTAGAACAATAACAATATGTATTCACTTAGGGGTTATACAAATAGAACAATAATGATATGTAATCATTCTAGATTACACAAGTTTAATAATATGTAATCACTTAGGGGTTATACAAATAGAACAAAAATGATATGCAATCATTCCAGATTATACAAGTATAATAATATGTAATCATTTGAGGGTTATACAAATAGAACACTGACAACATGTAATCACTTGAGATAGCACAAATAGAATAATAACAATATGTAATCACTCTGGGCTACATAAACAGAACACTAACATTATGTAATCACCCGGGGCTACACAAACAGAACAGTAACAGTATGTAATCACTCGGGGCTACACAAACAGAACACTAACATTATGTAATCACTCGGGGCTACACAAACAGAACACTAACAGTATGTAATCATTCGGGGCTACACAAATAGAACACTAACAATATGTAATCACTCAGGGTAACACAAATAGAATGTAAATGCCTTGGATTACATAACAATTATGAAACAATAATATTTAAACAATCAGGATTACACTCAACAACCATAAAAATATGTTATCACTTGTGATTACACAAATAGAACAAAAACAATACAACAGAACTCAAGATTACAAAAATAGATCAAATCAATATGTAATCATGCAGGATTACACAAATAGAACAAAAAATCACTCGGGTTTCACAATTCTTCCAATGACAAAAATTCACAACCACATAAAAACGGCGATATGTTACAACTGTTAGGACTTGGTCACTTGTATCAACACATCTGCCAAGGGTAAGGACCCGTTATTCCGTCTGCTAGAGGTTTGTGTTTGTAGAGTATTTAATGGGATGATATCGTTATATCGCGAGGTTTCCATTTCTTGCATGGACGCTATAAATCCTAATGTTGCAGGAGAAGATGATGAAAGTTGATTTACAGACGAAACTTGTAAAGAATCGTTCAAATCTGAATCTTGATAGTCGTTTACTAAAAGTTTCACGTCCACGGCACTGTCTTCAAACACCGAGTCCGCTCCCATTTCGTTCATTTGCGAAATATTACCACTAGAATGCATAGCGTCGTTACATGGATGGCCCGAATCGCGATATTCTAGCTTCAGAGTATCGTTCATCTGATTGCCAGAATCTAGAAATTCTAGCACAGTTGAATCATTGGAATGGTTAATATTAGGAATTAATGGTTCGAGATAATCACAAGGTTCACATAATGATGTCTGAAATGGTGTGACGTAATTACTCAGTGGGTGATACGATCGGTGACTCGTTAATAAAGGTGGTAAATAAAACACAGGTAATCCACGTAAAGCAACATCATCATCCTAAAAAAAACACAAAATAAGAGAAATTAAATGAGAGAGAGAAATGGGGTTTAACGTCCACTCGACACAACTATTTTAATAATTCGCTTGTGCATAGGGATCTTTAGCAGTGGGAGGAAACCAGAGAACCTGGAGAAAACCCACATAGGGTTTAACGACACAAAGTAGGTCATTTCGGGACTAACATATGGTTCAATTTTATTTCAATAATTTTCTTGTGCATAGGTTTTTTAGCAGTGGGAGGACCCGCAGAAAACATGAGGTACAAGCAGGGTATTGAAACCATGCTACTGGACTCAATGACAGACCTTGATATGATACAAGAGAGAGAGAGAGAAATGGGGTTTAACGTCCACTCGACACAAACTAGGTCATTTCGGGACTAACAAATGGTTTAATTTTATTTCAATAATTCGCTTGCGCGTAGGGGTCTTTAGCAGTGGGAGGAAACCGGAGGACCCGGAGAAAACCCACGAGGTTGGACAGGCGACCCTACTCCTTGTCACGTACAACCGGGGATTCGAAACCACGCCAGTCGACTCAATGACAGACTGTATGATACAGCGCGCGCACGCTAACCATTCAGCCATCCACCCCCCTTGATATGATACAATGCGCATGTGTAAACTATTCGGTTACCCAACCACCTGGAAACTGGAGGGCCTTATGATAAAAAGTCCACATGTCAGACCACCCATACGCAAAGTGAAATGAAATAGGGTTTAACATCCTACTTTTCTGCACTAACTGGACTACTGAAGACTGGCATAAGCCATACAGTGTGCCATAAGGGGAAGTTTGCCTGGACAGCAAATTTATTCGGAATTTCAACTGTCAAAAATTCTTTCTCGTGCACACCAATGTGTACACAAGACTTTGTTTTTTGTCCCATCCGAATGACACCATTATTCATTCCATAAATATTTACATATTATAAAAGTACAATATATAATTATGAGATTTAAAAACAAGACATAGCTTATAGAACCACACCAGAAAATCTTGCTGAAACCTCTCTCTCTCTCTCCCTCCCCACCCCCATCTCTCTCGCAAATTGTGTTGGTTGATTTATTTATTTATAGGTATTTTTTTTTCAGAAATAGAACTCACATTCAATAGTATATTTCTAGAACTCTTTGTTCAGGTATTGCAGTGTGAACCAATGACACTCACCGAGCCACCGTGGCAATGATTCAGTAGTATATTTCTAAAACTCTTTGTTCGGGTATTCCGGTGTGAACCCATGACACTCACCGAGCCACTGTTGCAATGATTGACAGATGTCTATAACTCACCTGTGACACTCACCGAGCCACTGTGGCAATGATTGACAGATGTCTATTACTCACCTGGATACTTTTCTCCAAGCTTGTTATAATAAGATTAAACGATGGTCTTTCTTCAGCAATTCCACTCCAACATGATGCCATCACATCAAATCTGGGAGAAATAAAAATATATTTGAACTGAAATGAAAGCGGTTTTAGCGTCCTACTGTTCTGCTCCTATACTAGGCTAATGAAGACATACAGTGTGCTACGAAGGAAGTTTTTGCCTGGGCAGCACCACTATGGCCTACTCTTATATCGAATCCAACTGCCAAGGGATCTTTTATGTGCACTCCAATGTATACACAGGATTTGTTTTTTTGTCCCATCCAAACGACTAGACAGCTGTCCTTGTCATGCCCTCCGTCCTGCACCACTGATAAGGGAAAACTATGTCGGAAAATCCTGATGAACTTTCTCGGCTAATGCAGCGATCGAACACCCGACCTCCAGGATATCGGGCCAGGGACTTAGCCACCATGGTACCCTGGGAGAAACAAAAATGCTATTTAACTGAAATGAAATGGGGTTTTAACATCCTACTATTCTACTATACATTTTAACATCACAACACTTTGATCATTCAGTATTTTTCAATGGGTTTTTTTTTTTTTTACTCGTTGAGCATATACTATGCTGTGTGTGTACTGTAGGATAAAGCACGAAATGAAATGAAATGGGGTTTAAAGTCCTACTGTTTTGCTCCGAACTGGGCTAATGAAGACGGGCATAGGCCATACAGTGTGCTATGGGGGAAATTTTGCCCGGACAGCGGCACTACGGTTTGCTCTTATATCGAATTCCAACTGTCAAGGGATCTTTTACGTGCACGCCAATGTGTACGCGGGACCTCGGTTTTTCGTCCCATTCGAACGACTAGACAGCTGTCCTTGTCAGGCCCTCCGTCCTGTATAACTGACAAGGGGGGAACCATGCCGGAAAATCAGGATGAACTTTCTCGGCCAATGCAGGGATTGAGTACCCAACCTCCAGGCTAGCGAGCCAGTGTCTTACCCACTTAGCTACCGTGATCCCCGGATAAAGCACGAGACGGAGGTTATACTGGGGAAGAAAGACTGAAAAAAATAACCTGAGAAAAAGAAAAAACAATTTAACACATTTACCACATCAGAAATAACAATGAAATGAAAATCTGAAAAACGCTACATGACATTTGGCGCGTGATTATAAAAAACTTACACTGCTGCTGGACAACTTTCTGGTGGTTGTAATCTACCTCCAACTGTTACAAAATGCATCACTTCTTCGTTCGAACAACCTGGATATGGAACGTGTCCAAGAGCAAAAATCTCCCACAATAATATACCAAAAGACCTAAAAATAAAGCAAATCTGATGTGAAATGAAATAGGGTTTACTGTTTTATTCCTTACAGATGCCATCCCTGATTTGTCAATCATTAAGAGGCGTTTTTACGAGAAAACATATTGGTTTCGATTACCTATCTCGTTTTGTACACGACGTAGTTCTCGAGTTGGTATTCGAATCAGTTCTTTTGAACTGATCTACTTGGAATAAGTTAAAATGAGAGGCAGCGACCACATCAAAAATTCCCTGATTACTACTGGTATGCACAAATCTCAGCTTATTGTGAGGTGATAAAATTGAATGTTATATCTAGGGTCGATATGGGCCACAAATCCCATTCACACACAAATCTTTCAAAATTTCCTTGTGAAGAGAAATCTGATTAAAACACAGATCCTATTTCGTTTCATTTTTTATAGTTCAAAATTTCGTTTTACTTGTCTTTACTACACTAGGACCTGGAAGAGTTGTTCTATGACAGGCGTTCTAGTTGATGTGAGGAATTAGCCTATGAAACGGTCTGTTATGGCGAGTTCTTGGTGTGCTCTGCACGGAACTGTGGGTAAACCACTAGAAATGTCATCGCTGATTGATTAATCAATGTCTGACATCATAGGGTCAAAAGCCACTCGTATGACACCTGACGCAACCTCCCAATATATTATTAATTGGCAATCGTGTTGAAATCGGTGTAAAATCTAAGCTGCATTCTGGATGTTACGGCCAGTGCTTGACGTGGGATGCATGGAACTGTGGGTAAACTACCAGAAACATCCACACTGATTGTTTAATCAAATGTTTGACGTCATAGAGTCAAAAGCGGCCAGTATGACCCGACACAACCTCCCACTACAACTGGAGAGATCTTCATTTAGTAGGGGCCTTCGAAAGTATAAAAAAACGACACAAAATATAGATCTGTATTTTAATCTTTCAAAATTTTCTTGTTAGGAGAGAGACCCCTCCCCCCCCCCCCCGCCACCCTTATCCAATATCGTGCGTCTGCCACTGTGTGTATAGACTAGTATACCTACCAGACATCTGTTTTCGAAGTAAACATTCCATCAAGGAACGCTTCTGGTGGCATCCATTTTACAGGTAACATGGCTTTACCTGCTTTCTTATAATAATCAGATCTAAAAATATACAAATAATGTTATATAAGCCTTTGAAAATGAAATGAAATGAGGTTTAACGTCCTACTGTGCTGCTCCAACTGAACAGACGCCATACAATATGCAATGCGAGAAATTTTGCCCGGGCAGCGAGACTATGGCCTACTCTTATACTGAATTCCAACTGCCAAGGATCTTTTACATGCACACCAATGAATACATGGGACCTTGTTTTTTTGTCCCATCCAAACAACTAGACAGCTGGAGTTTAAACATACTAATGTTCTGTACCAATGATGACAGTGTACGTCATGAAGTATACTATGGTTATCATATAACCGGACCTAGGTTTTTGTGCCTAGATGCTGTTTCATGTCAGGCCCTCTGACAAGTGGAAACCACGCTGGAAAATTACAGGGCACTTACTTGACGAACATCGGTATCAGTAGCGCCCTACTCGCTAAGCCACCGTGGCTCCTATACAACATCTGATAAAATAGTATAAGATTGGAGTTTATTCTAGAACTACATGCAAATACAAGAAAATATCATTGAATTTAGCTATTGAATACAGTCACTGAATAATCCACGATTGTATTCAATGGCTTCGATAGGAACTACTTTTTTTTGGAATGATGTCACTTTCAGAATGACATCACAACTGTAATGGCATCACTACTTTTGTATAAAATGGCAACCACTGATTTTGTATAAATATGGCGGATTGTTTATGATTTTCTTTTGATAATCTGGATAGTACGGTGTCTGCAAAACTTAATGACCACTGAATTTTTGTTATTTAGAGATTTACATATAGCTAACGCTCGTGGAATACTTGCGCAGGGATACACCCGAGTGAACCATTGATTAACCCGAGTGGTATTCAATTGGTCATTGAGTTTTATCTATCTCATTTTGAGACTAACATATGGTTCCAGTTGTTTCTGTAGTCACATGTACATTGCTACAGAGGAGAATATTGCCAAGACAGCACCATTACCATCATCTCTTACCTGTATATATCTCTTGCTAGACCAAAATCTGCTATTTTAGCAACTCTTGATGGACCTTTCTTAGACAACAGACAATTTCTAGCAGCTATATCTCTGTAATATACAAGATGAGGTTTCAATAAAGTACTTAAAGTAGGGTGACCCACGCACCTACAGAAATACAGTCAACCGCTGATAGTTCGAGACTACCACTGAAGCGTGCACATTCGCCGTGTCGAGGCCAACTTTCTGACAGTATGATACTATAAATAGCCATGGCACGTGCAATTCTCTACAAATCTATCAACTATTACAGCCGTAAAAAAATTATTGTTGACGATTTTGAATAGCAGTAAAATTAAGCTTCTTGGTTATTACGTTCGTTTCATTTTTTAAATCGCTTTATCATTAACTGTACCGTTAAGAGTGGCATCTTTTGGTTTAGTACAAATAATATCTCAGAAACACTCGGGTTAGACAGGAACATGATACTAGCAGTAGTTTCATTTTACTTTTACAAGCTTCTTAAAACAATTGTTGAGCTAGCTAATGTGCTCATTTCTAAATTCAATTTCTTGTTCTAGCTTTCTGTTATGTGTCGTAAAAAAGTAGTCTTGATTATCCCGACCTGTCAATCAGCCCTAGAATGGTCGATAGACTGGTTAAGCGAGACTAATTTCAAAACAAGGGCACGTAACCTATCTTTTACTCAAAAGTATCTGGATGTTATGGACGACACATGGAACCAGTTTTCAGTCTATTATTTATAGATGATTAATGGTCATAGCTTATTAAGTACAACATGATCGTTTATTTAGTGACTATAATTGTGTGAAACTGATTTGAGGCTTGGCATATATATAAATATTGTGGCGAAATTGTCGAGATATATGGAGATATTTATTTATGGTGGGTCACCTTACTTAAAGTCTCTGGGAATTATCTGAGGGATTGAGCATGCCCATTCTATTTTAAATATTGTGTAAGTTGAAAGCACTATAAATAAGCCAGCACTATTTATTGCAGGGTGGGGTGGGGCGAAGGGTTACCACGCGCGCATTGTTTCATTTAGTCAACTGGCGTGGTTTCGATTCCCCGGTTGTATGTGACAAGGAGTATGGTCATCTGTCCAACCTCATGGGTTTTCTCCGGGCCCTTCTCCGATTTCCGCCCACTGCTAAACCCCCAGGCACAAGAGTAAAATTGAATGATATCTTAGTCCCGAAATGACGTCTCCTATCTATTGGGTAAACTAAATCTCTATTATCTGACCGAATCCAAGCAGGGAGAATCGATTTTGTTCTCTTAATTAAATTTTAAATAAACATTCAACACAGATGTAACCAGGAACCGGACGTGGTAGGCCATCGCCATCAGGCCTATGTTACTTCCGGGTCCGAGTTACCCCCATACACCTAATTTCAGCCTTGAGACAGCCACAGTTTAGCCACCAACCCTGAACAGACAAACGACAGTCAGAAATATTCGTATAGATTGAACGAAGAATACAAATGACTGTCAGTGGATTTAATGTAACAGACATCTGGAGGGTGGATGGCCGAATGGTTAGCGTGTGCGCGCTGTATCATATGGTCTGTCATTCAGTCAACTTACGTGGTTTTGATTCCCCGGTTGTACGTGACAAGTCGCTGCAACAGACCGTTTCATTGAGCTAATACCTCACATCATCCAGATCACGGGTTATATAACAACTCTTCCAGATCCTAGTGTAGTAAAGACAAGTAAAACGGAATTTTGAGCTAGTATCTGCGTTGTAATCAGATTGCTAAGAATTTTATTTCAATAATTCACTTGTGCGTAGGGGTCTTTAGCTGTTAAACCACTCAAACACCCACCCACCCCACCAAATAATTAAAAAACAACAATGTTACCTGTGAATGAAATGTTTTTCTTCTAAATGTTGACAACCTTTAGCAATATCTAGAGCTAGTTTCAATAAATCTAACACTGTTAGTTCTGATGGTCGACTCTAAAAATGAAAAATACAATAACTCATAAATATACAAAAACTCATAAATGTACAAAAACTCATAAATGTACAAAAACTCATAAATATTCAAAAACTCATAAATATTCAAAAACTCATGTACAAAAGTCATAAATGTCCAAAAACTCATAAACATACAAAATAAATATCTAGATAAGATAACTCTGTAAATTTGTGGAAAAGCATGGGTCAACTATGTAAACCAGGGACTAACAAAGACATCAACACAGACATTATGGAATTGTGTCATCATATCAACAACAATCAAAGTCTGTCAACCATGTGCAATTATTTAAAGAACAAGTATGCCATGTCGATAATACCCGAGTCTTCTTTTTGCAGTGAGTCGCCAAGAACAAGAAGAAGAAGGTTATGGAACCAGTTGTTGGTTAAAAATTAGCTTTCGGGTTGCTCCAGATACATTTATTAACCATGTCGGGTTGCATCAGATGCATTTATTAACCATGTCCGGTTGCACCACAGAGAGAGAGAGAGAGACGGTTTAACATCCACTCGATACAAAATTCAAACTAGGTCATTTGGAGACTAACATATGGTTCAATTGTATTTCAATAATTTGCTTGCGGGTAAGGGTCTTTAGCAGTTGGAGGAATGAGGACCCAAAGAAAACCCATGAGGTTGGACAGGCGACCCTACTCCTTGTCAAGTACAATCGGGCATTCGAAACCACGCCAGTCGACTCAATGACAGACCTTTTGGAGCACGCTCTTGCTAACCATTCGACCATCCAACCCGGCAAGGTTGCACCAGATGCACTTATTAACTGTGAGAGAACTCAACCTTTTAAATTCTTAGTTCACTAGTCACCCTTGAGGAAGTGCAATTAGATCTTGACTGATCAGACATCAGTTGGTTAATAATTAACGAATACTAATCCATTCGACAGACCATTAAGGAGACACACAGGAGTTAATTAGTGAAGCCAATAGCCTTTAAACTTCGTTAAAACATTGATAATTAATGAATGCTAATCCATTAACACAATAACATAACATGATGAAGAAACATCGGCATCAAGTCATTAGGGTGATGGCCTCTCAACTAGGTAGGGGGTGGGATGGCCGAATGGTTAGCGCGTTCGCGTTGTATTAAAAGGTCTGTCATTGAGTCAACTGCAGTGGTTTCGATTCCCTGGTTGTACGTGACAAGGAGTTAGGTTGCCTGTCCAACCTTATGGGTTTTCTTCGGGTCCTCCGGTTTCCTCCCACTGCTAAAGACCCCTTCGCACAAGCGAATTATTGAAATAAAATTGAACCATATGTTAGTGTCGAATGAACTGGTTTGTGTTGAGTGGACATTTAATCCCAACTCATTAAACCCTGTCTCTCACTCTCTCTTCAAAATTGGCACATGAATCGCGTGCCAGAATGCTTTCGAACCCAATTTGTTTTGAAGCGACTCAAATGAACGAGTCTAAACATACCGCACATAACAGTAGACTGGAACAAGCAGACATCACAGACTGACATTCACTAAGGACCGATTAGAAAGTTTATATACATTCATATTATATTATCATATGTTGCAACCCATTTGTGTCCATTTCTAGGTGCTCCTTTTAAAACATGAATAATTAATACCAATCTGTTGTACACAATATATGACAAACAATAGGCAGAAATAACTTTGAGTTAGTCATGTGGTAAGAGTACTTGGTCGTCAAGTACTAAGGTTATTTGGTGGTAAAGCAATAAGGGTACACAAGTGGTATGGTTCCTGGGTAGTCAAGTGGTAATGGTTCCTGGGTAGTCAAGTGGTATGGGTCCTGGGTAGTCAAGTGGTAATGGTTCCTGTCCTGTAGTCAAGTGGTAATGGTTCCTGGGTAGTCAAGTGGTACGGTTCCTGGGTAGTCAAATGGTAATGGTTCCTGGGTAGTCAAGTGGTATGGTTCCTGGGTAGTCAAATGGTATGGTTACTGGGTAGTCAAGTGGTATGGTTCCTGGGTAGTCAAATGGTATGGTTACTGGGTAGTCAAGTGGTATGGTTACTGGGTAGTCAAGTGGTAATGGTTCCTGGGTAGTCAAGTGGTAATGGTTCCTGGGTAGTCAAGTGGTATGGTTCCTGGGTAGTCAAGTGGTATGGTTACTGGGTAGTCAAGTGGTATGGTTACTGGGTAGTTAAGTGGTAATGGTTCCTGGGTAGTCAAGTGGTAATGGTTTCTGGGTAGTCAAGTGGTACGGTTCCTGGGTAGTCAAATGGTAATGGTTCCTGGGTAGTCAAGTGGTATGGTTCCTGGGTAGTCAAATGGTATGGTTCCTGGGTAGTCAAGTGGTATGGTTACTGGGTAGTCAAGTGGTATGGTTACTGGGTAGTCAAGTGGTAATGGTTCCTGAGTAGTCAAATGGTATGGTTCCTGGGTAGTCAAGTGGTAAGTGGTAAAATGGTAAGGGTACTAAAGTGGTAAGAGTAGCCAAGTAGTATTTTCACACTTGCCTTCCTCATTTAACCACAGTAATGACATCTAACATATGGTTCAATTTTGTTCCAGTGATTTGCTTGCGCATAGGGGTCTTTAGCAGTGGGAGGAAACCGGAGGACCCAGAGAAAATCCACGAGGTTGGACAGAAGAACCTGCTCCTTGTCACGTCTTCTCCAACAGGAAAGACACCTGCAAGTGCGCTAAGACAATAAAAACAAAAATAAGACAACTTGTCTGCGATATCACCGTCAGTGAAAACGGACGTTAAATACTAATAACAATAACTTACCGGTTTAGGTCTTGATTCTCTAAGAAAAGATCGTACATCTCCACCTTCTAATAATTCTAATATGATGAACCTTGGTTCTTTATCAAAGCAGACGCCGATAAAACTTACAATATTAGGATGACTGAATTTACTGAAATAAAACAAAAGTTTCAAAATGTAAAATGATATATTTCATCGTCAATCACGATCTGAAAATGTCTTCCTGACTTTGCATTCCTTTTTATACTGGGGGGCGGGATGGGGGAGGATGGTCGAATGGTGAACGTGTACGTGTTGTATCATAAGGTCTGTCATTGAGTCAACTGGTCTGGTTTTAATTCCCCAGTTGTACGTGACGTGCAAGTAGTAGGGTCGCCTGTCCAACCTCGTGGGTTTAATCCAGGTCCTCCGGTTTCCTCCGGAGATAGCGAGATGGGGTTTAAAGCCCACTCAAAAAAAACCCCAGCGAGATCGGGTTAAATGTTCACTCAAAAAAACCTAGGTTATTTCTGGGCTACATATTGTTCAAATTATTTCAATAATTTGCTTGCACGTAGGGATTTTTAGCAGTGAAAGAAAACCTTAGGACTCGGGGGGGGGGGGGGGGAACCCATGAGGTTAGGCAGGTGACCCCTTCTTGTCACGTATAAGCAGAGATTCGAAACCATGTCATTCGACTCAATGACCGACCTTATGATCTAATCCGCACACGTTAGACCATATTGTGCATATCATTTTTGCACAAAAATCAGTGACTCTGAGGCTTTTTCAAAATTGTGATTAAAATCACAAGAAAACATAATTGACTTTTGTTTTAGATAAAGAGCTCGCTGTTCTTGCTATAATAGTTTAAAAATAGATAACAAAAAATAAGAGAGAAAGAGAGAAATGGGGTTTAAAATCCACTTGACACAAACTAGGTCCTTTCGGGACTAACATATGGTTTAATTTTATTTCAATAATTCGCTTGCGCGTAGGTGTCTTTATCAGTGAGAGAAAACCGGAGGACCCAGAGAAAACCCACGAGGTTAGACAGGCGACTCCTTGTCACTTACAACCGGGGATTCGAAACCACGCCAGTTGACTCAATGACAGGCTTCATGATACAACGTGCACATGCTAACCACTCGGCTATCCAACCCCCCAATAAAAAATAAATATCAGTAAAATTATTTTATCTTAAGTGAAGTTATGAGTGTTTGAAGGTTTGACAAGATAGTCTTGTTTGTCAAGAAATAAAATGAAATGAAATGGAGTTTAACGTCCTACTGTTCTGCTCCTAACCTGGGCTAATGAAGACGGGCATACGCCATACAGTGTGCTATGAGGGAAATTTTGCCCGGGCAGCGGCACTATCGCCTACTCTTATATCGAATTCCAAATGCCAAGGGATCTTTTACGTGCATGCCAATGTATACACGGGATCTCGGTTTTTCATATCATACGAAGGACTAGACAGCTGTCCTTGTCAGGCCCTCCTTCCTGCATCACTGACACGGGGGAATCATGGCGGAAAATCTGGATGAACTTTCTCGGCCAATGCAGGGATCGAACACCCAACCTCCAGGCTAGTATCTTTAATACAATGGAAAACAAAGATCAAAGGATGACATTACATCTGTACTTTGACTCAATATAAATATTTTAATTATTAACATGACGTTACCTGATAATAACAGCTTCCATTAGGAAATCTAATTCTGTCTGCTCAGTACACATTGCTGGTAATGTCTACAAAAACAAAACAATATTATTAATAACTACAGACACTGTTTAAAGAGACGAATATTCAGCGACATCTCCTTGTAAGCGGTCACGATAAATTCCCCCCGTAAAAATTCTGTTGTTTCATCTCTTTTTTCAATGGTCACTCCTCTAACGCGGCCAGCGGTCACTATTTTACTAATAAATTCAACAAAACATCGCCCATTCAACGGCCATTGTTGAATGATACCATCTTGTTCTTTGTAACACCCCCGTTAATCCCGTGATTTAATCCCGTTAATTAACTGGACCCCCACTGATCAGGTAAAAAGAAATGTAACAATAACCATAAACCCGGGATTACCTGTTAATTAATCTTTTGTTTTATTAAACGACTAACCTGATCATTGTTTTCACGCGTAACGACACATTATTTGATACTGATTGAATAAAAGTACCGAGTTTTGTCACGATCATCTAGTATCTCTTTTCCATTGCCACTTTATTGTTAAACAGACGTTTTATTTAGCGCCTCCTATAATATTACATACAGAGTTACACCCCCTGTAAATAGGTGATAAAATCAGCGATTTTTTTTTTGTGCATGTGCTTTTTTTGATGAAATAAAATTAATTCATCGATTTTCTTCACAAAAATGGATAAATATTATCGAATGCATCACAATGGTAGACAGTAGTATCGAAGGTTGGTACAAAATGAAAAGTTTACTGAAGTTACGTCCGAGATTTGAGTAAAGAATTTTCGTTTGGTGCAAGACTCGGCGGCGGTCAAATTTACCGCTTCCAATGCATCCAAGCGTAATATTTAATTTATGTCAGCACAAAAAGCACCAAGATTTTATTAAGAGGCCACTCCCGTTAAGCGGTCAGTTGTGAAAATTCCCTTGGGTGGCTGCTTAATGCAGATTCTACTGTACATGATTTTATGTTAAGTCATTGTGAAAACTGGTTTAATTTGTTTAGTAGACCAGACAGGTTGGACTTGGGAAGGAAACAAAATCTGGGCTAATATAAGAGACATTCTGATTAAAATACAGATCCTATTTCGTTTTGTTTTTTATAGTTCACAATTTTGTTTTACTTGTCTTTACTATACTAGGATCTGGAAGAGTTGTTATATAACCCGCGTTCTGGATGATGTGAGGGATTAGCCAATGAAATGGCTAATAGCGACAGCAACTTGAACTTACCTTAACAGCAATTGAGACATCTGTATCATATGGTGGACCAGAAAGAACACCTTCATAAACTTCACCAAAAGCACCCTGACCGATTAAACTGTAAAAACAATCAATTATTTCAATAACTGTAACTATAATAATAATCCATTTTAGGTTTGTTAGGGAGCAGTGGGAATAGATGGGGTGGGGCAATGGGAAAGGATGGGATGGGGCAGCGGAAGTGCACAGGGTGGGGCTGGGGTGTTTTCTAATAACATAAGCCATTTACTGATCATTGCAACAAATAAACAGCCATAAGCATCCTGTATATGATATTTTGTTTAAAATTTTAAAGAGAGAGAGAGAGAGAGAGAGAGAGAGAGAGAGAGATGGGGTTTAGCGTCCAATCGACACAAACTAGGTCATTACGGGACTAACATATGGTTTAATTTTATTTCAATAATTTGCTTGCACGTAGGGGTCTTTAGCAGTGGGGGGAAACCGGAGGACCCAGAGAAAACCCACGCGGATGGACAGGGCGACCCTACTCCTTGTCACATACATCCAGGGAATCTTAAAATTTTAAAACTTAAAAATCAGGACCTAATAGATTTTGAAAAGAGCAACCAATTCATTTCTTGTTTTTATTCCCGAAGAAAAAGGAAGCAAAATCTTTGATAGATGTTCCTTAAAATCAAAATTTAAACTAGTTTTGGTCTGACAAGGACAGCTGTCTAGTTGTTCGGATGGGACAAAAACCAAGGTCCAGTGTACACATTGGCGTGCACGTAAAAGATCCCTTGACAGTTGAAAATTGATATAAGAGTAGGCCGTAGCGCCGTTGTTCAGACAAAATTTGCTCATGGCACACTGTATGGCGTATGCCCGTCTTCATTATTCCAGTTCGGAGCAGAACAGTAGGACGTTAAACATGTTCCATTTCATTTTATATCATTTCGAAATGGTTTTGTCTTACAAATGAATTCCGGTGGTATCAAGGAATGGCGGGAAGTTGTATGTACTGATAATAATATAAATCTGTAGAAAAATAAACCAGCAGTTGCCAGGCATGATACGCCCACATTTTGCAAGAGATGGACAGAGAACAAGCTAAACAAAAATGAGATTTTTTGTATAAGGTCCGATATGCACGAATATCAAAAGGAACCAAGATCTTTTGGATAAAAACATATATTTCAAGTTTCATCAAAATCGGATAAAAACCCTGACTTCTAGAGGGTCCACAACATTGGTATCACATACTTTTACACTATTTGCTTACAAGTAGCAGCCATTTTGTCAAGCAGTTTCGGTTCGATTTTCACGAGATTTGAACTCAACCATCATTAGCATGTAACGGTGATATATTTAAACAGTTTATAAAATTGAATCCAAATTGTGATTTTTTTAGCAATCAGTGGCCATAATGCAGGAAGTTACGTTTCCATATGCGCGATTACTGACAGGAACCAAGATATAAACATAAAGTTTCATCTACATCGGATCAAAATTGTGACCTCTAGAGGGTCCACAACCTTGAGATGACATACTTTTATACTATTTGCATTCGAGGAGCAGCCATTTTGTCTGGCAGTTTCTGTCCGATTTTCACAAAATTCGTATTCAACCCTCATTATGGTTTAACAGTGATATATTGAAACATTTGTTTAAATCCGATAAAAATCGTGACCTCTAGAGGGACCACAAGCTAAAAACACGATTTTCTGTACAATCAAGGACCATAATCCAGGAAGTTACAGTCCGATATGTGCCAATATTGAAAGAAACCAAGATCTTTGGGTTATAAACATACATTTCAATGTGATTTTTCGAACAATCAAGGGTCATAATCCATGAATTTACATACCAATTTCGAAAGGAACAGAGATACACATATATTTCAAGTGTCCACAAACAAACTTTGAACGGACGGACAGGGACTATGACAATATACGTCCACATGAAAATGAGGGCGTATAAAAAAATGACTTTTGCAGATTGAAGTAAATGAAATAAGCTTCATCAACGTCCTACTTTTCTGCACCATCCACGATAATGAAAACAGTCATTTGGTCAGCCCTGGGACCAAATATTCAATCTTCTTGTTAATGAAATGGGGTTTAAAGTCCAACTGCTCTAGTCTGGCTGAGCTAATAAAGACGGGCATACACCATACAGTATGCCATGAGAGAAATATTGTCCCTACAGCGGCACTAGGCCTACAGCTTACTCTTTTATCAAATTAAACTGCCAAGGGATCTTTTATGCGAACGCCAATGACTGGACCTTGTTTTTTTATGTCCCATTTGAGCGACTAAACAGCTATCCTTGTCAGGCCTTCTGTCCTGAAACGAATGCAACATATGACATGTCTTGCAACAATTTATTTCAGATACAAAAAAATAAATTAACATTATTTTATTGTTTTCGTCTAGACAGCTGTCTTTGTCAGGCCTCTGAACCCGTAACGAAGACAACATGACTTGTGTCTCTCAACAATTCATTTCAGATAACAAAAAATAAATTAACATTATTTTATTGTTTCTGTCTTTACTTTTATTCCCCACCAGCTGTTGCACCAACAAATGTTGAATTTACCTGATGAGTGTTAAATGTTTGCGTGATATTTCTGTGAGAACAGGATCGGGCGTTGTGGTCGGCTGTACCATGTTATAGTTAGGGTTGTTTAACATCAATATCGATGGCAACATGGCTTGTTGAAAGCCCCGGCCGCCTATAACATTGCTAGGCGACATCGCTCTCTGTAACTTGGACAATTTTGTTTTGTCGTTCTTTCGTCTATGATAATCTGTTAAAATGAAAAAATTGAATAAAATGAATAGAATAGAATAGATAGGGCAGGACAGCATGGGATAGGATAGGATAGGATAGGATAGGATAGGATAGGATAGGATAGGATAGAATAGGATAGGATAGGATAGGATAGGATAGGATAGGATAGGGTACTGGGTATAGGATATGATAGGATAGGGTACAGGATAGGGTACAGGATAGGATAGGATAGGGTACTGGGTATAGGATAGGATAGGATAGGATAGGATAGGATAGGGTACTGGGTATAGGATAGGATATGATAGGATAGGGTACTGGGTATAGGATAGGATATGATAGGATAGGATACTGGGTATAGGATATAGGATATAGGGTAGGGGACAGGACAGGGCAGGGTATAGGATAGGATAGGATAGGACTAAATTCAGCAGTAGTCTTAGATATTAACTTGAGCAGGGCTTCAACTTCAAAACTTTGTTAGTCGATCAATTTTCAATGTATTTTGTTAAATATTGGATTTGCAGATAATTTGTTCATGGATTGTGAAATTTTTTAGCATTATTTCAATTTTGGTATTTATTTTTTAAGTGTTTTTACACACAAAAATATATACATTAACCCTATTTATTGTGTTTTAAGTTTTCAATATTCAAATTTATTTGATCTATGAGTTCATTGACTAACAAGCATGTAGAGAGAGAGAGAGAGAGAGAGAGATGGGGTTTAATGTCCACTCGACACAAACTAGGTCATTTCAGGACTAACAAATGGTTTAATTTTATTTCAATAATTCGCTTGCGTGTAGGGGTCTTTAGCAGTGGGAAGAAACCGGAAGACCCGGAGAAAACCCACGAGGTTGGACACCGCGACCCTACTCCTTGTCACGTACAACCGGGGATTCAAAACCACGCCAGTTGACTCAATGACAGGCCGTATGATACAGCACGCGCATGCTAACCATTCGGCAATCCAACCCCCCCCCCACCTAGAACAGACATTTGCGTTTCTGTAATATCGATCATTTTGTCTGGCACTTATTTGTCTTTCATTGTTATTGTTATTGTTATTGTTATTGGATCGTTATTGATATTTTTAATATCGCCTTTTCCAAGAAATTCTCTACTCTTTAAACATCAAAGAATCAAACAACTCTTCGACATCTTTAAAACACGTTTGACGTCACATCCAATTGATGAGAGCAAACAATAGATGAATCCACTTAAACTTTAAAGTGTGTAGTGAAGTTTATCTGTTCAAGCTATATAAATTCTGTGTTGATTGATTGTTCATTGGTGCGTAATTGTTAATCAGACCTGACTAAATTTCCATTAGTTTTAAATGAAATTTAATAATGCAGTAATATATTTGCATAAAAGCAGTTTTAATGACATCAAATAATAAATACTAAAAAAATTCCATTGAATATTTACATAAAAGCAAAGTTTTCGTAAAGGCAGTAAGACCCAGACATAAATGGTGTTCAATGTTCTACTGTTCCGTTTTCTAGTGGGCATTAGTTACCACATCATTAACGCCTGAAAATTTGTCAGGTATAACTAGACTCGTCATTTCCAGGTTTTACTGACATTAATAGACCTGAGAGAGAGAGAGAGAGAGAGAGAGTAGAGAGAGAGTAGCGAGAGAGAGTAGAGAGAGAGAGAGAGAGAGAGAGAGAGAGAGAGAGAGGGGGAGAGAGAGGGGGAGAGAGAGAGAGAGAGAGCAAGAGAGAGAGAGAGAAGAGAGAGAGAGAGAGGAGAGAGAGAGAGAGGAGAGAGAGGGGGAGAGAGAGAGAGAGAGAGCAAGAGAGAGAGAGGGGAGAGAGAGATAGCAAGAGAGCAAGATAAAGAGAGAGAGAGAGAGAGAGGGGTTTAACCTCCACTCGACACGAACCAGCTCATTTTGGGACTAACATATGGTCCAATTTTATTTCAATAATTCGCTTGCGCGTAGGGGTCTTTAGAAGTGGGAGGAACCGGGAATCGAAACCATGCCAGTTGATTCAATGACAGACCTTATGATACAGCGTGCACATGCTAACCATTCAGCCATCCAATCCCCCAGGTGTGCACGTAAAAGATCCCTTGACAGTTGGAACTCAATATAAAAGTTAGCCATAGACCAGCTGCTCGTCTTCATTAGCCCAGTTGGAGCAGAACAGTAGGATGTTAAAGCCCATTTCATTTATACTGTACCTAATAGCAACTGCCGGAGGACCGCACTACATGTAAACAAAACCATAGGCGTACGGGGAAATTTTTGACTGGGGGGGCGGTGGTGGTTGGTGCCCCAAAAATGTAGTTAGGTTCTTAGTATGTTACATAATAATAATCTCTTTTGCGATGAATAAGTTCTTAATTTCTAAATCATCAATAAAAGAGAACTAAATTTTATTTACTTGTAATATACACAACTAAAAACAGTTGTTTATGTAACTGTAACTCGTGGCTTACTGTACTCCAAACAATAGAGGGTACGAGTCTTAAGATTTCTATTTAATTGCCTAACTATACTAGACACTCTGAATTTAAATTCGCTGTTAAATTGGACACATTCAAGAACACAATATTTTTTATACAACTTTTACAAAGTATAATTATTGTGTGCAGCGCGCACCTGCTAACCATTCGACCATCCCCCCCCCCACCACCTTAGCCCCTCGAGGTTGGACAGGCGACCCTACTCCTTGTCACGTACAACCGGGGAATCGAAACTACGCCAACTGACTCAATGACAGACCTTATGATGCAGCGTGCACACGTTAACCATCCGACCATCCAACCCCTCTCCCCCTCCCCCAACTTGTTCTTATAATAAAAGAGCTAGTTTTTCGGATGAGACAACAAAAAGACGCCCTGTGCAAACCATCCAACCCCCCAGGTTGATAAAAACATAAAAGATGTCTGTATACTTACTGATGACAACAAATACTGCTAATATCACAAAAAGTATAACAGCACAGGAAACACAAATAACAACTATATAACCTATCGGCATTTTCTCCACTGCTAATGTCTGTAATATCGATGCTTTGGGTTCTGAAAAAAAAAGAGTAAAATGGTAGAACCAGTTAGTAATATTGTATCAAAATGTCTTTAGTTTGAGACGGACGCATACTGGTATCACTAGACCAACTAGACTGCTGTCTAGGATGAAATAGCAGGATATATTTATGAATAAATGAAATGAAATGCAATGAGGTTTAACGTCCTACTGTTCTGCTCCTAACCTGGGCTAATGAAGACGGGCATACGCCATACAGAGTGCTATGAGGGAAATTTTGCCCGGGCAGCGGCACTATCGCCTACTCTTATATCGAACTACAACTGCCAGGGGATCTTTTACGTGCATTCCAATATATACATGGGACCTCGGTTTTTCGAATCATCCGAAGGACCAGACAGCTGTCCTTGTCAGGCCCTCCGTCCTGCATCACTGACAAGGGGGAACCACGCCGGAAAATCTGGATGAACTTTCTCGGCCAATGCAGGAATCGAACACCTGACCTCCAGGCTAGCGAGCCAGCGTCTTACCCACTTAACCACGTGATCCCCTATTTATGAATAATGTACATAAATATATATATGAAATGTCTAGAGAACCAGAGTCGGTAATACCAGTCTAGGCCTATATATAGGTTGTTGCCTAGAATACAATAGAGAGAAAGAGAAAGAGGGAGGGGAAGAGAGAGGGGGAGAGAGAGAGAGAGCAAGAGAAAGAGAGAGAGGGGGAGAGAGAGAGAGAGAGCAAGAGAGAAAGAGAGAGAGAGAGAGAGAGAGAGGGGGGGTTTAAGGTCCACTCCACACTTCGGGACTAACATATGGTAGGCGACCCTACTCCTTGTCATGTACAATCAGGGAATCGAAACCATGCCAGTTGACTCAATGACAGACCTTATTATACAGCGCACACATGATAACCATTCGACCATCCAACCCCCCAGAATACAATAGCTAACACCGGTAAGCTGATACCATTGACTTATAAACCTGGGCCTTTTAGTAATGACAATTTTTGTCATTAAATCATATAAGTGGTCATTATTATAAACTATTGTTTAGTATGTATAGAAAGTGGTTAGAAATTGTACAGTTGTCATTAATTATCTGGTGTGTCACTAGCTGTAAAAGATGTCACTACTGGTGTAAAAGCGTGACTATTGAATACACAAACCTGGACAATAGTAGTGTATATCATTCAATGTCATTGTGCTTGATAACGATAAGATCGTATCGAAACGTTGTGCTTGTGTATAATAAACCAGTGATTGTTGTCCCATATAACTGTGTCAGTTTTGTTTGATAATGAGTGTCCAATTTACAAGTGTTTAATTTCTCAATCATTGTTAAAAAATAAACAACCCAATTGATTAATGAGGTATAATGATTAATTTTTGAACAGTGATCAGGAAATTAAATACTTGTAAATTGGACACTCATTATCAAAGTTAATCAGTCAGCTTTAAACTGGACACATGTACAAATTAGATGATTTGGGGTGATTTTAAATGATTTTTACAAATTTTTAAACAAAGATTGGATATTGAATGAATGTGAAAGAAATTAGTGCTAGATACACAAGATTAAACGATACCTGGGTTACAGTGCAATGAAGTTAAAAGACGTCTATTAACTAAAAAATCATAATTGACACCGCATGATAGAATCTACTCTCTTTGAACATTTTAAACTATTGTTTAAAGCCATTTAGATCAGAATCACCACTATATAATGGACCCCCGGAGAGATAAACAGCTTGTTATCTGTCTCACATACATAATACATCTACATATGTTTGATTAAAAGAGCAGGGTAATTCTGTTTTTAATTTCTAGTAAAAGGCTTTAACAATAGGGTATAGAAACTAAATCATGGATATTAATCTTTTTGTCTAAATATTCTTTTTTTTATTTTCATTCAGGATGTCTGAAAGGGACTGGGGAACAGGCTTAGGTTACGTAAACCCCCTCTTCTTAATGGTTCCAGTTCAATGATTTATTAAATCTAAGTATTGTTTCCTTCCATTCAACAAGGTTTACATCTGTTACCACGACGATATTTAAAACGATATTTAAAATCAAGAAATAGATAGGAATTAAAACTACGTTTAATCAAAATGGATGATTAAATTTTCAACAAAAATTGTGAGAATGGCTGTTCGTTATCTCTTCCACAGAATATGTTAATATTTGAATTTATTTTGAATATTTTTAGTCCAGCACATCTATGAGATCTAATTGAAATTAATTTTTTATCAGTTTTATTCCAAACAAGAAATAGACAATTAACTGATCGAATCTGGTAAATACCGGTAATATAGTTTAAATGATCGTTAAATGGTATTTAGCATAGAGAAACACATTAACAGAACACAATTGTCACCCATCACATCTCGAGAGACAGAGAGAGAAATGGGGTTTAATGTTCACTCGGCACAAACTAGGTCATTTTGGGACTAACATATGGTTCAATTTTATTTCATTCATTCGCTTGAGCCTAGGGGTTTTCAGCTGTGGGAGAAAACCGGAGGTCACAGAGAAAACCCATGAGGTTGGACAGGCGACCTTGACCCTTGGAATCGACCACGCCACTTGACTCAATGACAGACCTTTTAAGTTTTGCTTAATGTTTTGTGTTCAACAGCATGTATGGACAGACAGACATACAGACAGACAGAAGTATAGACAACATACAGACAAGAATTTGACTTACCAATACAACTCATACCATCGCTGCTTAATGTTTTATTCCCCGGACACAGACAGCTAAACTTCTTGGTTGTAAAATCTGACCAGATACACATTAACTCACACGGACAATACAATATCTGTACTATTTCTATAAAACCAGCTCCCTTTGAATTTATACCTGAAATTAATCAAAAATTAAATCAGTCGTCTAGTCGTCATAACACTTGGATCACCATAACGTCTGTATGGTTTTCGGTCCTACACTTGTATATGACAGAGTAGGGTCGCCTGTCAAACCTCATGGGTTCTCACCGGGTCCTTCGATTTCTTCCCATTGCTAAAGTGAATTATTGAAATAATATTGAACCATAAATTAAGGTGAACAATTTTGAGTAAATTCTTAACTTAGGAGAGAGAGAAAAATGGGTTTAACGTCCACTCGACACAATCTAGGTCATTTCGGGACTAACATATGGTTTAATTTTATTTCAATAATTCGCTTGCGCTAGGGATCTTTAGCAGTGGGAAGAAACCGGAGGACCCAGAGAAAACCCACGAGGTTGGACAGGCAACCCTACCCCTTGTCACGTACAACCGGGGAATTGAAACCCCGACAGTTGACTCAATGACAGACCGTATGATACAGCGCGCACATGCTAATCGATCGTCCATCCAACCCCACTCTTAACTTAGGTCTGAGAATGCTTTGTGAACTCGAGGCCAGGTGATTAGTAACATTTTAAAAATCTATTTACCTGCACTGAGTAAAACATCATTAGCCAGGTGGTTGATATGTGATGATCCACCTTTAATAGATTTACCTGCATCATTAATAGATACATTTCCACCTGTAATATTAAGAATAATAATATAATTGTCTATCTTCCACATGATTATAAAACCAGGACGGCGGATGGAGCCTATTTTAATGATTATCTCCTTTATTCGTTCTGCTTTATTTAATTCTACGGTGGCTGATTTAGGACACCAAGTCGAGCACTTGTGATAATAAGTCGAGTGCTTGAGATACTTAGTTGAGCACTTGAGATACTAAGTTGAGTGCTTGAGATACTAAGTCAAGCACTTGAGATACTAAGTCGAGCACTTGAGATACTAAGTCAAGCCCCGAGATACTAAGTTGAGTGCTCGAGATAATTATGTCCAGCGCTCGAGATAATTAAGTCGAGCGCTTGGGATACTAAGTCGAGCGCTCAAGATAATACAATATTTCCCATTATATCTACCCCCTTCCAAGTTAAGGAGTGCTATTATTTTTTTTTTCCAGCCACCATATAAATCAGTAAAAGCATTCTTGTGCCAAAGAAAATGATTTTGAGATATCGTACCTGAATAACCACCTCCCCCTCCTCCATCTTTACATCCTCCTCCACCGCCACCAAATCCACCATTAGTGGACCACGTCTTGTCAACAAAAGTAAAAGTACAACCTGTCCCTCCCTCTGCTCCGTTAGCTAGAGATTGACCTGTCATAGTATTATCACGAGATCCATGTAACCCACCTCCAGCACCTAAAACAAAATCAAATATTATTCAAATTTAAATGTATTTTAAAGACTAGTTTGCTATAAGACTGACCGTATTGCAGAGCTTACTAAAAGACTGTATTACAGAGCTTACTAAAAGACTGACTGGATTGCAGAGCTTACTAAAAGACTGACTTGCAATACAGAGCTTACTAAAAGACTATATTACAGAGCTTACTAAAAGACTGACTGTATTGCAGAGTTTACTAGAAGACTGACTGTATTGCAGAGCTTACTGAAAGACTGACTAGATTGCAGATCTTACTAAAAGACTGACTGTATTGCAGAGCTTACTAAAAGACTGACTGAGTTTATTTTAATTAAAAACTGGCTGCAGAGCTTACTAAGAGACTGGTTGAATTACAAAGCTTACTAAAAGACTGACTGGACTGCAGAGCTTACTAAAAGACTAACTGGATTGCTGAGCTTACAAATTGACTGACTAGATTACTTGGCTTATCAGGGAGGCATGATGGCTCAGTGAGTAAGATTCTGGCTCACTAGTCGAGAAAGTTCATCGTGATTTTCCGACGTTGTTTCCTCTTGTTAGTTGCGACAAAAAAAAAAACAAGGTCCCATGTACACATTGGCATGCAGACAAATGATCCCTTAGCAGTTGGAATTTGATATAAGATTAGGCTGTAGAGCCGCTGTCCAGGAAAAATTTCCCTCATAGCACACTATAGCCCAGTAGTAGAACAGTAGGATGTTACCCCATTTCGTTTCATTTCTAAAGGCAAGTCATGATCTTATTCATATTACGTTTTAGTTTACTAATTATTATTTACCGTTGATAATGATAAGAGAATAATTGTGGAAAGGTTGTGTTATATGTGTATAATCCATTGTTTTATATATAAATTCGGGGGATTGGATGGCGCGCAGCATCATAAGATCTGTCATTGACTCAACTGGCGTGGTTCGAATTCCACGAATGGACGAATGGACGTAACAAGGAGTAGGGTCGCCTGTCCAACCTAGTGGGTTTTGTCCGGTTTCCTCTCACTACTAAAGACACCTACGTTCAAGCGAATTATTGAAATAAAATTAAACCATATGTTAGTCCCAAAACTCTCTCTCTCTCTCTCTCTCTCCATATAAATTGTGTACTCAATCGCTGAATGCCACTCAAAGATTATCATTCAAAGGTGTTTGTTAAAAACCAACTTACCAGACATATTGTCTGTTGATTTACCAGTTAATCCTGAACCACTGATAGTTATTCCCCCTGATAACATCTTAACATCATCAGTCTGATTATAAGGGAGACCACTCCCACCTCCTGCTACTATCAGTGGGTAAATTTCACCATTTGGTTTTCTCTACAACAAAAAGGGTATCTGTATAGTTTTTAGATGTATTCAGAGTTATCAAATAACATTATCTAAATCCATAATTATAGAGGCGCAAGGGAGGATGGCTGAATCATTAACGCCTTCGCATTGCATCATAAGGATTCAATTCTCTGCTTGTACGTGACAAGGAGGGAGGGTCGCCGTCGCCTGTCCAACCTTGTGGGTTTTCTCAGGATTTCCTTCCACTTCTAAAGACCCCCTATGTGCAATAAGCGAATTATTGAAATATAATTGAACCATATGTTAGTCCAGAAATGACCTAGTGTGTGTTGAGTGGACGTTAAACCCCATTTATATATAAAAAAATTCTAAAGTGGTAGATAGAGCAGTTGAGTAATCTAAATTGTCAAGCCTGGAAATAAGGTACCTGTCACAAGACAATGTCAGGCACAAATTCAGGCTAGGTCAGGCACTAAACCTCTGGTGCCTGTCATTTTGTCCGGCACTGATTTGTCTTTTTTATTGATATTATTAATACATGTCCGGCACTAAGTTGAAAATGTCAGGTACTATTTCATTAGTGCCTGACATTTTGTCAGGTACATCTAAAACCGTTATTTCCAGGCCTCAATATTGTGCATGGAAGATCATCAGGGCCCTGTTTCTCGTAATCTTAACTAAAGATAAAATCCAAATTTTAGTAGATACTTCAATTTTGATTGGCTAAGCACTAAAATCAATTTAATATTATCCAATCAAATTACTAAAATTTGTATTTTATCTTAGTTAAAATTTCGTGAAACAGGCCCCAGATCCATAAGTTTATGTCATCGTTTAAAGGGGGAAGGCTCTCCAAATTTTTTTAAAAATTTTAAAGTTATTAAAATAAATATTTATGTTTTTCCATCAGTATCTCAACTGGCCCCGAGTTCTTAAGTTAAGAATTTACTCTACTATCAATCATTGTTTATGAGAAATATCTTTGATGAAGAAACACAAAACTTTTGCACATAGTTTCTTATTGATGTATTTAATACATTAAAACAACAAAAGATCTATAAAGGTCTATATTTTAGTTAAAATAAGGAGAACAATTTTGAGTAAATTTTTAACTTAAGTCGCCTGAGAATAGAGACTTTTGGCAAGCGTAGATTTCTGGCCCGTATCGCGTATTCGTATGGATTTTGCGTGTGACGTCATCAATGTGTGTACATTTCTCATACGTGATACGTCACACATATACGGCAGCACGTATCGAACAGCTTTCATACGGAAAAGGTCCGTATAACATTGTCGTGTCCTTTTACCGTCTTTTTTACTACTTTTAGACGCTGAATTGTTGTATCGAAGCCTTTTTATGAATCTTTGTGTATTCCAGAACACGAAGGTGTATATTTGATGTGATTTTAACCATGATGGTTGATCTACGTGCTAAATTTAGGGAACGGAACCTTGCAATTCTGTAAATGATTTTATTCTGTGGTAAAGGTGTATAAACTTTCTGAAATGATACATTAGTGAAACCAACAAGAGCATCGCTAACGCAGCAATATACGTCCACATTCCTGTTTTGTTTGATATGGTCCAGTTTGCATTGAGGGTCTGTGAAATAAAACTGGGTTGTAGGACTGCTATCAGTTTAACACTTCGTTCACATTAACAGAACACAATTTTTATTTTAAAACAATCGATGTCTTTATTCCAAAAGCATGACGTTTCGAATAGGTATGCAAAGTTTCAAAAGGATCTGTTAAGAATTGCGGTCTGTAGGCAAAACACAAGACACACAAACATTAGGCGTGGCTCTGTCCCAAGGGGTCGAGCATGCACCAAAAATAATAATAGAGGTCGGCCTTAGGATTAAGGAATAAGTATAAAAAGTAGCCTTAGGCTATAAGGAATAAGTATAAAAAAGTTTTCAAGATGATCGATTAAGAAATGCGGTCCGCAAGTGACACACAGACATAAAAAAAGAAAATGGGCGTAGCTCTGCCCCTGGGGGTTGGGTATTCACCACAAATAATAGGGATGTTCCTTAGGATAGAAGGAATATGTATGCTAGGTTTCAAGGTGATACGATAAGAAATGCGATCATCGTTAGGGTATAAGCAATTCATATGAAATTTTTTCAAGACGATTGATTAAGAATTGTGGCCTGTAGGTGACACACAGACATAAAAAGAAAAGAAAATGGGCGTGGTTCTGTCCCTAGGGGTAAAAAAACCAATATGGATCATCGTTAGGGTATCAATTCATATGAAAAAATTTCAAGACGATTGATTAAACATTGTGGCCTGTAGGCGACACACAGACATAAAAAAGAAAATGGGCGTGGCTTTGCCCCTGGGGGTTGGGCATGCAACCAAAACGATAGGGATGTTCCTTAGGGTACACAGAATAAGTATGCAAAGTTTCAAGATGATACGTTAAGAAATGTGGCCTGTAGACGACAAACAAACAAATACAAAAACTGGGCGTGGCTCTGCCCCGGGGAGGCGAGCATGCACCAAAAACAATAGGGGTCATCCTTAGGGTATAAGGAATAAGTATGTAAAGTTGATACGTTAAGAAATGCGGTCTGTAGATGACAAACAAATAAATAAATATAAGGAATGGGCGTGGTTCTGCCCCTGGGGGTCGGGCATGCACCAAAAACAATAGGGATCATACTTAGGGTATAAGCAATTCATATGAAAAATTTTCAAGACGATTGATTAAGAATTGTGGCCTATAAGCGACACACAGACATAAAAAGAAAAGAAAATGGGCGTGGCTCTGCCCCTGGGGTCGGGCATGCACCCCAAACGATAGGGATGTTCCTTGGGGTACAAAGAATAAGTATGCATAGTTTCAAGATGATACGTTAAGAAATGCGGTCTGTAGATGACAAACAAATAAATAAATATAAGGAATGGGCGTGGCTCTGCCCCTGGGGGTCGGGCATGCACCAAAAACAATAGGGATCTTCCTTGGGGTATAAGGAATAAGTATACCAAGTTTGAAGAAAATCCAGTAAGAATTGCGCCCTGTAGGCGACACAAAGACACACGAAAAGAAAATGGGAAATGGGCGTGGCTCTGCCCCTGGGGGTTGGGCATGTACCCCAAACGATAGGGATGTTCCTTAGGGTACAAAGAATGTGTATGCAAGATTATAAGTTAAGAAATGTGGCCTGTAGACGACAAACAAACAAATACTAGAAATGGGCGTGGCTCTGCCCCTGGGGGTCGGGCATGCACCAAAAACAATAGGGATCTTCCTTGGGGTATAAGGAATAAGTATACCAAGTTTGAAGAAAATCCAGTAAGAATTGCGCCCTGTAGGCGACACAAAGACACACGAAAAGAAAATGGGCGTGGCTCTGCCCCTGGGGGTTGGGCATGCACCCCAAACGATAGGGATGTTCCTTAGGGTACAAAGAATGTGTATGCAAAGTTTCAAGATTATTAGTTAAGAAATGTGGCCTGTAGACGACAAACAAACAAATACTAGAAATGGGCGTGGCTCTGCCCCGGGGGGTCGGGCATGCACCAAAAACAATAGGGATCTTCCTTGGGGTATAAGGAATAAGTATACCAAGTTTGAAGAAAATCCATGAAGAATTGCGCCCTGTAGGCGAACCACAGACACACACACACACACACACACACACACACACACACACACACATACATACATACACACACACACACACACAGACAGGGGCGACGGCATAATACGTTCACATTATGAATGTGGACGTATAAAAATTGCAGTCGAGTCGAAGTCGAAGATTTTTAATAAGATTCGACATTATTTTTTTTTAATAGCTCAGCGACTGTCGGACGAATTTATTCCCTCCGGGAAATTTTCGGCTCTAATAGGCACTTGACTACTACAGATGGTGATCTTGGTCGATATCTGCCATCATGCTGTAATAGAACTAAGCTCAGCTGATCGACGCACACGTACGCGACGCGAAAATCTGCCAAAACTCTAAAACTACATTGACGCAACGTATCGTGTATACGATACGGATACGTGATACGGATGGGAAAATTCCGCGTGCCAAAAGTCTCTAATGTTTTGAGAACTCGGGGCCTGATATATAAGTTTATGTCATTGTTTTAAGGTGAGTGGCTCTCCAAATTGTTTTCTTAAATTTCAAAGTAATTGAAATGAAATTGAATATTTATGTTGTTGCAGGGGATCTCACCTGATATATAAATGTTCCTCCACCACCACCACCACCACCTCTGACAACAGGTGGTGACCTCTCACCTGTACCATTTTTTTTAACAGTGTTCATCAAACAATAAGACGATGATTCAAATCCAGCCTGAAAAGAAGAATCTCGAAAAATCAATTTAGGAAAACCCCATGTACAGGTAAAACAACCCTTCCCTTGACATAGTACGGGGGTTGTATGGCCGAATGGTTAGCATGCGCGCGCTGTATCATACGGTCTGTCATTGAGTCAACTGGCGGGGTTTCGATTCCCCGTGTGTACGTGACAAGGAGTAGGATCGACTGTCCAACCTCGTGGGTTTTCTCCGGGTCCTCCGGTTTCCTCCCACTGCTAAAGACCCTTACTCGCAAGCAAATTATTGAAATAAAAATTAAACCATATGTTAGTCCCGAAATGACCTAGTTTGTGTCAAGTGGACGTTAAACCCCATTTCTCTCTCTCTCCCTTGACATAGTACAAGAATCTCCCACTAAACATACATGGGGGGTTGGATGGCCGAATGGCTAGCATGTGCACGCTGTATCATATGGTCTGTCATTTAGTCAACTGGCGGGGTTTCGATTCCCCGGTTGTACGTGACAAGGAGTAGGGTCGCCTGTCCAACCTTGTGGGTTTTCTCCGGGTCCTCCCACTGCTTAAGACCCCTACGCGCAAGACAATTATTGATATAAAATTGAACCATGTGTTAGTCCCGAAATGACCTAGTTTGTGTCGAGTGGACGTTAAACCCCATTTCTCTCTCTCTCTCTCTCTCTCTAAACATACATTATGCAAGAGCTAAATCTGTCTACTGCAGGTCTTTCTTTAGACCTAAAATGTTATCTAAATTATTAATTAAACATTAATTAACCTATCCAGACCATAATCAACTCTAGATGGCATCGCTAGCCTGCGATCTTTAGTGGATTATTGGCAGATTTACTGCAAAACTTTTCTTCACGATTTAACGATTAAATGGATAATCGAGACTATGCTGTTTATCATACTGACTTTAGTAATGATGATCGAGGCTAGGCAGAAATTTCAAACGCTTAGTTCTCTGTTCATAGTGGACCAATTTGAATGAAATTTTCATCCAATTGTCTTTACATTATCTAGTTTTTAACTACTATAGTGAGAACTGCCAACAAGTTATCGAATCTCCCATAATGTATGCAATATCAATATCCTACATATATTCGTCAAAAAAAGTAGGGGATATTCAGAAACAATACAAAACTGCGGAAATGCACTGCTGTTTTTATTAGAGGTAACCAGTGTATGTTAATAGCAGGCCAATTGCCTACACATGAACACAAACAGTTCATATGGGCGGCTTATCTGACGGCCCCAGTTCACTCGCAAAGAGATACACCGTCAAAAGTGAAAATGGACGTTTTTGATTTTTGTCTTAATAATGAGTAATTGCTCCACCAATCCTAAGATATTCAGCAATTCGTCGTGGCATGCTCCTAATCAACCGTCCAATCACAATTTGGGGCAATCTGACCCACTCCTCTTGCAGTGCCACAGCCAATTCTTGCAGTGTTGTCGGTTGACGTTGACATCAACGAACACGTCTCCCGATCAAATTAAACGTAAAACACTAAAGCAAAGATATGCTAAACAGTAAATCTTATGCAAGAACCGATAGGAAAGCAAACATGGATAGATAATCCGGCACGTGGCAGTTTTCATCAACCCTTCCTTGAGGTGTCAAATTTGACAATGAACCCCTCCCACGTGTATGGCGCTATTGCGTGTCGCATGTGCAGCTCAGTGGTTCTGTTGGGGCGATAAGTTCTTCATCTGTGAACATACTCTCAAAGCATGTCAAATGTCCATGACTATTTATCATATCGCAACCTGCATAGGTATTTGCATTTCAATATCCCCTACTTTTTTTGAAGAGTATATTATATATTTTATTTTGTATATTATATATTTTATTTTGTATATTATATATTTTATTTTGTTATTTATCTATTTCCTATTAATTTATTTATTTAAAATTACTTATCTGCTTATTTGTACCATAACTAGAATAATATAATTAGCTTTTGTCTGTATTATATATATAATTTGACATTGTATATATATTATACACCCAAACCAGAAGGAAGCAAATTTATATACCGGTAAGCCTACTTGGCTTGCTTTTGTATCCTATTCTTTATGCTTTTTATATTGTATAATATTCTCGAAAAAATAACTGTTTATACCAATATCAATATTCATATCAAAAAAGAGAGAGAGAGAGAGAGAGAGAGAGAGAGAGAGAGAGTAGGTCAACCACGCCAGCTGACTCAATGACAGACCTTATGATACAACGTGCACGTGCTAAACATTCGGCCATCCAACCCAAAATGTGTCATTTTCAAAATCACTGGAAATGAAATGAAATGGGGTTTAACATCCTGCTGTTCTGCTCCGAACTCGGCTAATGAAGACGAGCATATGCCATACACTGTGCTATGTGGGAAATTTTGCCCGGACAGCGGCACTAGGGCCTACTCTTATATCGAATTCCAACTGCCACAGGATCTTTTACGTGCACGCCAATGTGTACATGGGACCTCGATTTTTCGTCCCATATGAACGACCCGAAATCTGTCCTTGTCAGGCCCCCCCGTCCTGCATCACTGACAAGGGGAAACCACGTCGGAAAATCTGGATGAACTTTCTCGGCCAATGCAGGGATCGAACACCCGACCTCCACGCTAGCGAGCCAGCGTCTTACCCACTTAGCCACCGTGATCCCCAAAATCACTGGAGAGAGAGAGAGAGAAATGGGGTTTAACGTCCACTCGACACAAACTAGGTCATTTCGGGACTAACATATGGTTTTAATTTTATTTACATAATTCGCTTGCGCGTAGGGGTCTTTAGCAGTGGGAGGAAACCGGAGGACCCAGAGAAAACCCACGAGGTTGGACAGGCGACCCTACTCCTTGTCATGTACAACCAGGGATTCGAAACCACGCCAGTCGTCTCAATGACAGACTTAATGATACAGCGCGCGCACGCTAACCATTCAGCCATCCAACCCCCCAAAACCAAAGGAACAATAATGATATCATTATCGATAAGTTAACATAACATGACCAGCGTTAAACTGTGATTCCTGCTTTCATTGATATGGTATTTTTTAAAATGAAGAGAATGAAATATGATGTGGTTGCAACGACTGTAATATGAAGGATATGCGTTGGGTTTGTTTTGCCAAAATTTACAGACTAATTATTAACAAAAAAGTGTGTGTGACACCGACAAAGGGGCATGCACCAATATAAATAGTTGCTTTCTTTACGTTATAAGAAATAAATATGCAAAGTTCCAAGATGATCCATTCAGGCTTGCAGTCTGTAGACAAAAAACACAAAAATTGGGTGTGGCTCTGCCCCTGGGGATTGGAGATGGAACAATAGTAGGTACAATTCTGTTATTGAAATGATTGATATGCTGAATTTGAACAAAATCTGTTCATAATTGCAACCTGTAGAGTATTTACATCAAAATATTAACAAAAAAGTGAGTGTGACACCACCCCTGGGGGATCCGGACATGCACCAAAATAAATAATTGCTATCCTTTTGGTATAACGAATAAATATGCCAAGTTCCAAGAAGATCCATTCAGAATTGCAATCTGTAGATGATAAACACAAAAATTGGGTGTGGCTCTGCCCCTGGGGTTGGACATGGACCAACATACATAGATGCAACCCTACGATGAATCATGCTGAATTTGATCTAAATCTTGGACAAAATATTAACAAAAAGTAGGTGTATAAAAAGCAATTGGTGTTTATCGACCTAATTTAAAAAAGTAAATTCTGAAAAAATAATTGGAATTGTGTTTTGAGGAATCCACCAGTATGATTCAACGTTGATGTACACAGAATCCAACTACATGGGTTGGTAACATATTGTTGTGTTAATTTAACAAAATACAAGTAAATACATGGAAAACTTTATGTTAAGTTCAGCTTGATATTTTCCAATAACCAATAATCAATAAGTTTATGGAGAAATAGTGATGATTGCGTTTGGTTTAGGTGTCTGGTCCCACACTGATCCGCAGTGAATATTTGCTAGGCCGCTACAATCACTGATAAGGATGACATCGAGGCGGCTTAATGAGCCAGAAATATTAACTTTTTTCCTGTGACAAATTAAATTCTAAAACATTTTTTTTATGTATTGGAAAAATAAATAAAGGCGTTTGACGTATTTGTAGGTAAAAATTATTTCCTGCCCGAAGCAGTAATGTCTTATGTAAACAATGCACGCGCCATTCAGCCAATGATTGACGCCGCTTGCTGTGACATCACGTGTTAAGGCAGTCATCTTTAACAGAGATATATCACTAGACTCGTAATTCTCTGTGAAACATATTGGTCTGGTCCAGGTTTGATTCTCATTTTAGGTACTAAATCACGGGAACTAACCTTCTTTTCGGGTGTCGACGAGACATTTTAAAGAAAAGAAAGAAATGGGGTTTTACGTCCACTGGAAACAAACTAGGTCATTTCGGGACTAACATATAGTTCAATTTTATTTCAATAATTCGCTTGCGTGTAGGGGTTTTTAGCAGTGGGAGGAAACCAGAGGACCTGGAAAAAAACCCACGAGGTTGGACAGGCAACTCTATTCCTTGTCACGTACAACCGAGGAATCGAAACCACGCCAGTTGACTTAATGACAGATCTTATGATACAAGCGCACGCGCTAACCATTCAGCCATCTGACACTCCCCTCCCCCCCCCCCCCCCCCCCGATGACACATTATACCTCAGGTTATCTTAGTTAACGTCCTACTGTTCTGCTCCAACTGGGCTAATGAAGACAGTTATACGCCATACAGTGTGCTATGAGAGAAATTTTGCCCAGGCAGCAGCGCCCTGGTCTAATCCCTAATCTTATCCCGAATTCCAACTGCCAAGGGATCTTTTATGTGCATGCCAATGTATACACAGGTCCTCAGTTTTTCATCCCATCCGAATGACTAGACAGCCCTCAATCATGCACCAGTACTGTATTATTCACATGCCGAATAATTAACACCAGCCAAGTGTCAGAAAGATCCCTAAGGTTCTACGGCTGTCCTGTCGGGGATCACGGTGGCTAAGTGGGTAAGACGCTGGCTCGCTAGCCTGGAGGTCGGGTGTTCGATCCCTGCATTGGCCGAGAAAGTTCACCCAGATTTTTCGGCGTGGTTTCCCCTTGTCAGTGATGCAGGATGGAGGGCCTGACAAGGACAGCTGTCTAGTCGTTTTGATGGGACGAAAAACTGAGGTCCCGTGTACACATTGGCGTGCACGTAAAAGATTCCTTGGCAGTTGGAATTCGATATAAGAGTAGGCCGTAGCGCCGCTGCCCGGGCAAAATTTCCCTCATAGCACACTGTATGGCTTATGCCCGTCTTCATTAGCCCAGGTTAGGAGCAGAACAGTAGGACGTTAAACCCCATTTCATTTCATTTCATTTCTACGGCTGTCAACATAATCAGACTGCTGAAAATGCGACAAGCCGTAGTAGAGTCGTCTGTCAGATCTCCTGGGTTTTCTACGGGTCCTAAGTATGGTAGTAAAATCAGTTGCTGCCAGTTACCAATTAAAACTACATATCCTTAGCATACTGAATTTTAGCTGCAATATTTATGAGCCGTGTGCATTGTCGTGTTCACGGCTACAATTGATATGGGAGAGCGGGGCACAGTGGGCATGATTTCTTTTTTTTAGTGAATTGAACAGAAGTGAAATCCTACAGAGAATCAGTTGAAGCCAGTCATATGTTTGATTTAAAGGGACTATCCCGAATTGAAATCCGAGTATGCATGAAAGTTAAGCGTCAAAATATAAAGAAATGGTGTATTTACCCTGTCTCAAAATTTCAGCTCAAAATATTGAGTCATTTGGACGTGAACGTCAAAACTGCTTATCCGGACACGTAACCCTTTTAAGATTTCGGGTCAATTTTTTCGTTGGGTGACCTGATAATCGATTCACGTTTCTTTAGAGGTTTATATACAGTGAATGACCCATGTGGTGTACTTGATAACGAAAGGTAAATTTCACCTACACATTATTTTTATAAAATAAGGGCTGGTTTTATCCAGACACCGCATAATACAGCTTGGGATGCCAGTCTCCATTTCCAGATGAAGATTGACGGGTTTAAGTTGTTTGAAAACGTATCAAATATATTGAGTTAGTTGCTCGGCCGTAAGTCAGAGGATTTTAAGTGATTTTAACACAAAATTAACCAGTTTTATTCTCCAAAATATTATAGGGATTGGCCCTTTAACAGTGCTTTTAAGAAGTTAATAATAGAACATTTTTTTTCGTAGATCATTGTAAAACGGAATTTTTTTGGGGGACCCAATGTGCCCCGTATCTGCGGTACACCGAGTCACATTATTGGACACAGTTGGTCATCAAGTATGTTTTTAATAAAAAAATAATGTATAGTAAACACATTGAAACTCATAAGAACTGTAAAATTAAACTTCTAATTCAAAATATGAATTTGTCTTATGACTTAACACAGATACGCAGATTAAAATTTCAAAAAACATTGAATACAAAAATCTTAAACTGGAGGAAGAAAATCCTTTATGTAAAAAGTACGGATTTGATTTTAAAAATAGCCCAAATATCCAGATTATGTCTAAAATGGACAGAAATTTTTAGCTAACCTAGAAATGCTTGGGCTCAGTGTGTCCCTCTAAGATATGACCCCCCTGTGCTCCCTCAGCAACCAAGACAGAAAATCAAAAATGACAGGGATAGTCTATTACTATCTCCTTCACCTGGGATTTCAAGTTCAGGAACTCTAACAAAATCTGGAGTAGGCTAGTCAAGCAGTTTAACCAGTCCACCATGCCCCATGGCTTACTATGCGCTGCTGTCCCCTACACTATTCAAGGCTTTGCGCAAGTAAAATTAGGTTCAATTGCAAAATTTTCAATACATATCATCACATAAGTAATTATGTTACAAATAGTGAAGATTGGAACACTGAAATCTTAATTTTAACTTAACAAATAGTTTTTCTGCATTTTCGTGGTTATGCCAGGTGCATGTTCTAATTTGGCGGCCATTTTAAAATGGACACAAATTTCGCATAGCAGTTGGGTTTAATCAAATCATATAATTATACGGTATTTATTTCAATGGGAATTGGCTTATTATATGCTAAGCTATGTACAACACAGTTTGGGGTCAGTGTAATTGGGAATTAAGGGAGTTATAGGCCAGTAAACTTTTTGTAGTCAAATGACTATAAAACTTGCTTAAAGGAAGGCCTTAGGATGATCCACTACTGTGGCTGGACCAAGACGGAAGACATCAGTAGTGGAAACATTTCTAACTACCTCGTCACAACCTTGGTTGTGTGTAGAACTGTGAACTCATATCAACAAACTTTATTCTATAATTATTCAATCCTTACCTTAAGACAAGCGCTTTCACCCTCTTGTCCAACCAAAAGGTAAAGTTTGGTTCCAGAAGTAAAGTTGAATTTTCCATGAACATAGCCACCTCGAGATAACTCAGAACCACTTTCAGTTCCTAAACCACCGGATGCTCCCACAGCCGTTATGCTTAAAAAGAGAATATTATTTATTATTTTCTGACAAAAATTTAAAGATACATTATGGAAGATGAGAGTGAGGGAGAGAAAGAACGAGAGAGAGAGAGAGAGAGAGAGAGAGAGAGAGAGTTTAACGTCTACTCGACACAAACTAGGTAATTTTCAGACATATGGTTCAATTTTATTTTAATAATTCGCTTGCACGTAGGAGTCTTTACCAGTGGGAGGAAACCGGAGAACCAGGAGAAAACTCACCAGGCAATCGAAACCACGACTGTTGTCTCAATAACAGACCTTATGATACAACATGCACATGCTAATCATTCGGCCATCCAACCCCCCCATTAGATAAAAAGCTGATCTTTCTCACTATAATAGCTAAAAACTAGATAGTGTAAAGGGAATATGCTGAATATTTCAGTCGCGCACGGGCTAACCATTCAGTCATGCAAGGGATGTCACCAAGGGCGGAATACCAGTCATTGTTTTTTGAGGCGCGCGATCGCTCGCAAGCATCTGCCATACACCTGTGTGTCGACCGAGGGGAGGTTTTTTTTCTCTATCTCCTTAAAATTGAAAATCGCTCTCCCGTCTTGTAAATCACGGACATGTGTATTTTTTTTTTTTAAAAAAGTGTGTGAAAGACTCGCATTCCGATCGCTGCCATGCTGTCATTGTGAACATTTATTTGGTGTTTTCGATTAGTGTATATGATCGCACACGGTAGTAAAATTCTGATGAACATAAAATAGATGGCACCGATGTGTCATTGGTTAATTTAACGGAAAGTAGAACTCTCACGAGACGTGAGAGATTACGAGAGATGGCATGCGAAGATTTCCAATGAGAATAATTCCGGAAGAAATAGATTATATTTTGATGAAATTGTCAAGCATTTATGATTATTTTGTGAATATGGATTATGTTTTTAAACAAAATTTATACAAGCTATAAATATTTAGAAATGTCGACAAGTATTTCTATTGGAATACCGTTAGTAGTTTTAGACAATAGCAAAAGATTTTGACCGTACGACTATGAGTACGAGTGCTATTATTTAGCAGACGATGTTTATTGTCATTTATGTAACCAGGAATGACCCCTTACATTCAGTAAAACATAATATACATAAAACTAACCACTCTTTTTAATATCAGGTCAATCTCCTCAATTTGTAAATCACTCTTCTGATCCAAACTGGGGGAGCTTTTTTAGGGGAGCGATTTTTTTCAATTTGTTCATTAAGGGGAGCTTTTTTCAGGCTCTCCTCTAAAATACAAAAAACAACGACTGGAATGGAGTAGCTCTAGACCCTCAGATCAATTTTTCACCACAGATTTATCCCAATATACTTTTCAGTCGTTGTAAAGATGAATAGTTTTTATTTTAAGTGGGGGGTTGGATGGCCGAATGGTTAGTGCATGCGCGATGTATCATAAGGTCTGTCATTGAGTCAACTGACGGGGTTTCGATTCCCTGGTTGTACGTGACAAGGAGTAGGTTTGCCTGTCCAACCTCGTGGGATTTCTCCGGGTCCTCCGGTTTTCTCCCACTGCTAAAGACCCCTACGCACAAGTGAATTATTGAAATAAAATTAAACCATACGTTGGTCCCGAAATGACCTAGTTTATGTCGAGTGGACGTTAAACCCCATCTCTCTCTCTCTCTCTCTCTATTTTAAGTTTATGGGTGGGGGTGGGGGTGTTTTCAGTCGTTGCAAAGATGAATAGTTTTTATTTTAAGTTTAGGGTGGGGGGGGGAGGGTGTGTGTGTGAAACTAATACTGTGTTGATGAGCAGATCACAGTATTATAATGGTGTGATAATCTGCCGATTGCTAAGATAATTAATGTTTTTTTAAATTAAGCACTTTAAGATCAACTAGCTAGTAAGTCGTTAACCTGTCATCACTTTTCAACCTATCATTTTGTGACAACGTAAATCCATCTATGGTTTTTGAAATTTATTATATTGTTTAACAGTTTATGCATTGTTCATCTATCGACATGTCAGTTTTAATTACAACATTTGGTAGTAACTGGCCTGTCAGTACTGTATGATGATATACATGTATATTTAGGTTCTGGTATATTAATGAATTGAAGAATCATTTAAAGTCTGTTATATCCGAACAGAGAATTTACACGTAAATCTGTGGTTTATTTTGTTTAACAGATCCCGGTGGCTAAGTGGGTAAGACGTTGGCTCAATAGCCTGAAGGTAGGGTGTTCGATCCCTGATTGCACAGCTGTCTCGTCATTCGAACAGGACGAAAAACCAAGGTCCCGTGTACACATTTGCGTGCACGATGAAAGATCCCTTGACACTTGGAATTCGATATAAGAGTAGGCCGTAGTGCCGCTGTCCGGGCAAAATTTCCCTCATAACACACTGTATGGTGTTAGCCCGTCTTCATTAGCCCAGTATAGGAACAGAACAGTAGGACGCTAAAACCCAGTTTATTTCATTTCGTATTTTGTTTAGAGGGGATTGCTTTATAATTAATATCATACGGTCTGTCATTGAGTCAACTGGCAGGGTTTCGATTCCCTGGTTGTACGTGACAAGGAGTAGGGTTGCCTGTCCCACCTCATGGGTTTTCTCCGGGTCCTCCGGTTTCCTCCCACTGCTAAAGACCCCTATGCGCGAGCGAATGACTGAAATAAAATTGAACCATGTGTTAGTCGCGAAATGACCTAGTTTGTGTCGCGTGGACATTAAACTATCTTTCTCTCTCTCTCTCTCTAATTAAATTTCATATTCCACTTTGTCTAGGATTGTTTTATTGTCGACAAATAAATCTAATTCTTTCCTCCAAAGTATTTCTGATTTTATAATCCTGTCTGTAAATATTTCTTATATATTCCTAGGCGTATTATTTACTGTCAGATATCAGTATTGATATTATTTTTCTAAAAGCTTTTCAGACAAATTCGTGTTTATCGTTTGTTCGCGTTTCCGGGTAAATAATTCACAGACAGTGAAGTACAGAACGAGAAGCAGACGGGGCAATAGCCTAGAGAATCCATTCACACGGACATCCAATGAAAAAGGTGAAAATACAATTTAATTTGAATATAGTGTTTATTTCATCTGTCTTTTTTTTCTCACAATTATTATGAGGACTACCTCTACCTCTAGACTTGATTCATGGGGGAAGGCATGCAATCAAACAGTTGGCTCCGAGCATCATGAAACCTCTGCGTCATGGATGATTAAAGAATTAACATAGCGAACTCTCGGTTAATTTGAGTTTATATACTTTCGTCTCCCTATAATTTGAGTTTATTGTAATTCAGGTATAGGCAAAAAGTAGTGCCAACGATTATTTTATATTTCATTATTACTGAAAATCAATCAAATTGTTTTTATCCATCTTAACCAAATTAAATGGCACTTTTACACCAGGCATGGTATTCTCCTATTATGAAATGAAATGAAATGGTGTTTAACATCCTACTGTTCTGCTCCAAACTGGGCTAAAATACGTCATACAGAATGCTTATGCACTACGGCCTACTCTTATATCGAATTCCAACTGCCAAGGGAGATCTTTTATCTGCCTGCCAATGTGTACATCCGAAGGACTAGACAGCTGTCCTTGTCAGGCCCTCTGTCCTGCACCATGAACCATGCTCTTATTATCAAATATACTAACTGTCATCAATTACACATCAATTACTGTCCACATTCCTCTTCGAATCCATGAACAACTGACAACTCTGGTCCCTAGCAAAGGGAGTTCTCTTCTCAGTGCAGAGAGAGAGAGAGAGAGAGAGAGAGAGATGGGATTTAATGTCCACCAACACGAACTAGGTCATTTCAGGACTAACACATGGATCAATTTTATTTCAATAATTCGCTTGAGGGTAGGGATCTTTAGCAGTGGGAGGAAACCGGAGGACCCGGAGAAACCCATGAGGCTGGACAGTTGACCATACTCCTTGTCACATATAACCGGGGAATCGAAACCACGCCAGTTGACTCAATGACAGACCTCATGATGCAGCGTGCACGTGCAGTACAATGTAGTAACAATCTGATTAATATACAGGGCCCTTATTCACGAAAACTTAAACTAAGATACAATCGAAATTTTAAGAAATAATGCAATTCGATTGGCTGACCAATATGCAAATTGGATATATGGTCAGCCAATCGAATTGCAGTATTTCTTAAAATTGCGATTGTATCTTAGTTTAAGTTTTCGTGAATAAGGGCCCTGTTCTATATTTCATTTCATTTTTTTATACTTTCGATGTCCTACACTACATGAAGATATTTTATTTATTGCTGATTGATAATGCTCATTTTGATTAATGTTTTTATTGTAATTTTGTTTTATTATTAATAAATGACATTTAACACCACATCAAGATGTTTAAGTTGATTTATGGGTTGAGACACATGAGTTTTATTGGTGCATCTGTATAATGCAATTTGCAGATTTTTCTTATAGTAATAGTTTTTGATAACCTAATTATTTTTCTGGTTTCAAAACACGAGTTACGTTACAGACAGTAATAATGAACTCTCAGTTAATTTGAACTGGACCAGTTTTTTTTATTAGTCTATACTACGCTATGTACATATCCGAACCTGTAGGCCGTTCCACCCACTCCTACTGAATTTAAGAGAGAGAGAGAGAGAGAGAGAGAGAGAGAGAGCTGAAATGAAGTTTGTCGTCCTACTGTTTTGCTGCGACTTGGCTAATGAAGACAGGTATATGCCATACAGTGTGCTATGGGGGAAATTTTTCCCAGACAGCGGCGCTGCAGGCTACTCTAATATCGAATTCCAACTGTTGAGGGTTCTTTCACGTGCATGCCAATATGTACACGCCAACTGTCGATGATTAAAAGGTATATAAACAAACTACGCTACATCTTAAAACACTCATTACCTGGGTTAGAGTGAGAGAAATGGGGTTTTACTTCAACTCAACACAAACTAGGTCATTTCGGGACTAACACATGGTTCAATTTTATATCAATAATTCGCTTGCGCGTAGGGGTCTTTAGCAGTGGGAGGAAACATGAGGACCCAGAGAAAACCAACAAGGTTGGACAGGTGACCCTAGTCCTTGTCACGTACAACCGGGGAATTGAAACCACGCCAGTTGACTCAATGACAGGCCTTGTGATACAGCGCGCATGTGCCAACCATTCGACCATCCACCCCCCCCACCTGGGTCAGAATAAAGTAATTGGTATGCTTGATAACGACCAATGAAATCCTGTGAAAACTTGTGTGAATGTTATCCATATATCGTAATCTATTTTTAAACTATAGCAAAAACAACCAGTCCTTTATCTAAATCTTACATAATGCATCTTTAATTTGTTCACATTAATTTCTAACCCCCATTAATTTGTTCACATTAATTTCTAGCTCAAACTTATTTCTAACCCACATTAATTTTTTGCTCACAAATTTCATTCTCACATTAATTCAATTCTTTAAACAGGCATTATGTAAGCGCTAAATCCGCCTATTGCAGGTCTTTCTTTAGGCTTTAAATGTTAAATAAATTATTAATTAGACATTTATTAACTTGACAAGACCATAAACATCTGTCGAGGCTAAGACGGTGGTTACGATCAATGTACACATCTTGTCAACACTACAACCATTGATAACTTAATAAAATATTTTGAATGAAATATTCAATATATTCATTTTCCATTATCTGTTTTTGAAATGTTATAGCGAGAACGCCAGCTCTTTATCTAAATCTTACATCATGTCCCTTTAAATTCTACCTAACATTAATTTTTTAATCACTTTAATTTCTTTTCTCATATCAATTCAATATCTTAATTTCTTTCTCACATAAATTTCTACCTCACATTAATTTCTTGCCCACGCTGATTTCTTGTTCATAGGAGCTACTATGCCCAAGTGAGTAAAACATTGGCTCACTAGACTGTCTTCATTAGCCCAGTTGGAGCAGACAGTAGGACGTTAAACCCCATTTCATTTTATATCTTGCTCACACTTATTACTTTCTTTTCTAATATTTCCGGTGTGATTTCCCTTTGTCAGTGATGCAGGACGGAGGACCTAGTCGTTTGGATGGGATGAAAAACCAAGGACCCGTGTACATATTAGCGTGCACGTAAAAGATCCCTTGGCAGTTGGAATTCGATATAAGAGTAGGCCGTAGCGCCGCTGCCCGGGCAAAATTTCCCTCATAGCACTCTGTATGGTGTATGCCCGTCTTCATTAGCCCAGTTTAGGAGCAGAACAGTAGGACGTTAAACCCCATTTCATTTCATTTCATTCTTTCTAATATAAAAATTTTCACCTGTAAACACCATTTCATTTCATTTCTTGCTCACGCTTATTTCTTTCTTTCTAGTATAAAATTTTTTACCTGTAAACGCCAGTTTCAGGAATAGTCCAGATTTGAACTCCATCTTCAACTTGAACACTTATATTCCGTGAACTTTGTTTATATTCTGCATTACATAATTTTTGACTCGGTCCCTTCTGACCCACAGCACCACAAGTTGAGAAAAAAAAATCTGGAAAAACAAAAGACCATAAATGAGTCAAAACATCTTGATAAGGTGTAAAATATCATTTATTATTGACCAATACAAATAAATGACTAAAAAACATTACAAATAGAAACATTACTCATTACAAATGGAAACATTACTCAAATACATACACATTACAAATATAAACATTACTCAAATTACAATACATAATAATAATGATAACTATATTTCCTGACCCCCAAAAATAATAATGATATCTATATTCCCTAACCCCCAACAATAATCATTTTGAGTTGAATTACAGCCCCCAATTCTACCAAATAATTTCAACTGGAAACTTGAAGAAGGTGGATATTAAAGATTAAATGTGTGCTTTTAGCACTACAAAATCTCTTGCAATATTGTGATAGTTGAATCTCTAATAGGAATATCAATTCAAACTACAATATTGTTACAGTTGAATCTCTGATAGGAATATCAATCGAATACTACAATATTGTTACACAGTCATAATCTCCAATAGAAATATCAATTCTAACTACAATATTGTTACAGTTGAATTTTTAATATCAGCACAAACTACAATATTGTGCAAGTGTTTATCTCTAATAGAAATATAAGTCCGAAAATGGTTCAATTCCATTCAGTATTTAGAAAGATATGACGAATTGAAGTTTCATCGATCTATGCTGCTCGCGACATAATAGTAATACGACAGTCGCCAGCTTTATTTTATGTGAACCAAATTGATGGGCCTTTTTGAAATCCAATTGAATTTAGCGTTGATATTTTGATTTTCTTTTCTTAATTAAATTTTAAAGAATCAACCAAAGTATATATTAACATGTATGAAGTTGAGAGAAATTTGATATTTTTTGAAATATGTAAAGCACTCATTGTTATGAAAGATCTCCATTGACTACCACTCCGTCAAAGTATCAATTTTCAAATACTGTCTATTAAAGAATTATTTAATCAAATATACAACTGATTGAATACGGTTCTAGCTGTGTTTGTGTCCAACTTTACCATGTGTACTAAATAATGTTCTCTGTTTTTCTGTTTATGTCTTTTTTAAGGATTAATGTGTTGTGATTGTTTTAATTTTATATTAGATGTACTTATGTAAAATGCTCTAGAGCAGCTTGCCGAGTTGAAATGTTGACACTATATAAATTAAACATACATTATGCAAGAGCTAAATCTCCCTATTTCAGGTCTTTCTTTAGGTTTGGAATGTTATATAAAATTTTAATTAGACATTAATTAACTTATCCAGACCATAATCAACTCTAGATGTCATTGCTAGCCTGCGATATTTACTGGATTATGATCCCATTTGCTGCTTGACTTTCATTCATGATTTAATCATGAAATGGATAATTGAGACTATGTTTTTTATCATAATGATGATCGAGGCTAGGCCAAAAATTCAATCGCTAAATTCTTGGTTCAGAGTGGATCAATTTGACTGACATTTTCAGCAAATTCCCTTTACATTATCTAGTTTTAACTATTATAGTGAGAACTGCCAGCTTTTTATCTAATCTCCCATAATGTATCTTTAATTATTATTATTATTATTATTTTAAGTAAGTCAGTTTCACTGCCAGTCAATACTGATAAATATAATAATGTTAATGCTCTTGTCAGCCATCGCTAACTAAAATTTGTTAAAAAATCTCTTCTCAGACCGCCTTATCTATCTCTGTGTAAACATTTCACAAGATTTTCATATTTTTGAGAAATTAATTACTTAGATATGAACAGACGACATTATGAAAAAAAATAATTGTGGAATGGACTAAGTAGGCATTCACTTTGGCATTCAATAACAAATTTGTGTAAATCATTTTATATACACTCAATTAATATGCGTTTTAAGGCCCATTTCCGTATTTTAACATTCTAAATAATAGAGCCATACACCCTTTTAAGAGAGAGAGAGAAATGGGGTTTAACGTCCACTCGACACAAACCAAGTCATTTCGGGACTAATAAATGGTTCAATTTTATTTCCATAATTCGCTTGCGCGTAGGGGTCTTTAGCAGTGGGAGGAAACCAGAGGACCCGGAGAAAACCCACTAGGTTGGACAAGCAACCCTACTCCTTGTCACGTACAATTGGCGAATCGAAACAACGCCAGTTGACTCAATGACAGACTTTATGATACAGTGCGCACATGCTAACCATTCAGCCCCTACTCCCTTTTAAGATGTAATCGTTAAATTTTATTATCACAATTAATGATTAACCTACCTTTCCCGGATTCATATTGAACAGATTCCACCGGCGACGAATTAAAAATTACAATAATCCAAGTCGCTATAAATTTAAACCAAAGCACATGAGTCCACTCCATTATTGCCTTGTCAGTAAGTTATTTATAAAATGTTTTTCCACCCGGATTCAAAACCCAGTTCAATTATAAACTCATAAAATATGTTTTCAATACACAAATTTTCACCTTAACACAGACAACTCTGTACAAACGAAAAAATATTTCTTTCATTTGCTGCCGTCACTCTCCTCTGTCACATTGAAAGAAAAAGATATTCTCAAATTATCTATGCTATATCATAACACAGTTCTACACCAACGCCACCATATTATTCAGTTCTATAGTTTTCACGAAATTTCAAAATAAAACTTGAAATGAAATTTATATTCTTTACACATAAACAACATTTTAGATGTTGCTATGAAAGTTATTCACTTATATCTATGTGTTACACTCATTTCAACAGAAAAATTCCCAATCTTTTAATTATGACAGTTTTCATAAAATCAAAATAAAACTTTAAATTAATTTGCTATACTTTAAATATAACCCACTGTATAGTTCTTGTCTTTAGTAAAGTTATTCATTAATTCTATCGTTAAACACATTTCAACAGAATAATTCCCATCCTTTTAATTATAACTGTTTTCATCAAATTAAAATCAAACCAAAACGTCAATAAATTAATTTGCTATACTTTAAATGTAAAACCACAGTATAGTTCTTGTCTTTAGTATAGTTATTCACTAATATTCTACTGTTATACACATTTTAACAGAAATATTCCCATTCTTTTAATTATACCAGTTTTCATAAAATTAAAATCATAAAATCAATCATAAAAGTAATCAATAAATTAATTTGCTATACTTTAAATGTAAAACCACAGTATAGTTCTTGTCTTTAGTAAAGTTATTCACTATAATATTCTACTGTCATACACATTTCAACAAAAATATTCCCATTCTTTTAATAAACTTTAAATTAATCTGCTATATTTTAAACATAAATCACAATATAGTTCTTGTAGCTAAAAAGGTTATTAACAAATATTATGTCACACGCATTTCAAAAGTAACATTTCAATTTTTTACCTCAAATTTTCAAACCCGAACATTAAGTTAAACTTGTATTGCTTGTATATACTGGTATTATATACTTGTTGTCGCTATGATAGCATATCTATAACTAACTGTTTAGTTCACCACTTGCACTACTACAAATGTGTTATTATTCGATAGATTTTATTAGCCTCGCCTACCAGACTTAGATTCATTGAATGTCAACAAGGCAATGAAATAATAGATGAATGATGATATATGTGAACAGACAAAAGTAATTATATACCACAAGGTTAAGGTAATGAGGTTTACTATGGCTGCAATTATGATGGAATAAAATAGGGTTTTATGTCCAACTGTTTTGCATCAAGTAGCTTTTGTGATCGACCTATTATTTACACTTGATCATTATCAAATTTGAATGATCAACTTTAAACTGGACACAAGTACAAATTAGATGATTTTTGGTGATTTTAAACGATTTTTACGAATTCTTAAACAATGGGTGTTCAATTTAAAAGTGTTTAATTTCTCGATCACTCTTAAAAAATAAACAACCCAATTTATTATTGATGAATAATGATTAATTTTTGGACAGTGGTCGGGAAATTAAATACTTGTAAATTTGACATTGATTATCAAAAGTACAAATTAGATGATTTTAAATGATTTTTTCGAGTTTTTAAACAAAGATTTGATATTTAACGAATGTGAAAGAATTGGACACTCATCAAAATTAATCAGTCAGCTTTAAAATGGACACAAGTACAGATTAAATGATTTGGGGTGATTTTAAATAATTCTTACAAATTTTTAAACAAAGATTTGATATTAAGGGAATATGACAGAAATTAGTGCTAGATACGCAAGATTAAATGATACCCAGGTTACAGTCATACAACCAATATACAAAAAGTTCTTCTTGATCCTTGGATAATTTTTTTTTATATAGGGGAGAGCGAGGCACAATGGGCATAATTTCTTTTTTTTAGTAAATTGACCAGAAGTGAAGTCCTACAGAGAATCAAACTATGTACTCAGTTGAAGCCAGTCATATGCTCGATTTAACAGTGCTGATAAAAAGTTAATAAATTGAAACCATTTTTATGTAGATAATTGTAAAACCAACATTTTTTTTGACTCAATGTGCCCGTAGCCAAGCAGTTTAACCAGCCTACCAAAAATTGACTATTGTGTCAAAAAAACGGTTAATGGCTGATAAATATTAATCAGCTTACATGAATTTATTGAATTTAGGAGGACAAATGTTGGCTGTAAAGGGGAATACCCCAGTGATGTCACAACTGAATTTTCCCAAAACAGTTAAAAATAACAAAGCCTGGCTTACTGTGCCCCGCTCTCCCCTATATATATCATAGCATTCTATTTAACTAATGTATCTCAACATTGCTTGATATCAAATGCATTATTTTGACTTCTGTCAAGATTGATCTAATTCCAAGAATTCTGTGATTGTCTGTTGCTATTTTTACACATTTCAACTATAAGTGGGCGAATAATAAATATATGACTGAATACATATATCAAACATCGCTGTCACATACAGCTATAAGTTTGTCTCAATTACCGGTTCGATAGAGACAGGCCCTTATTACACGTCTCGGTATAATATATCAAAAATTATATACCTGATAGTGTCAGTTGTTGGATTCACGAT